ACTAAAAAAGGGGCACTGTGTCCCCTGGTGCATCCCCCCCCCCCAGGTGCGGATCCAGGATTTCTTAGGGGGGGGCCAACTTTTTTTTTTTGGTCCCCAAAAAAATCGACTTAGCCAGCCGCTGAATAAGCGGGGGGGGGGGGGGAGGGTTAAGAGGACACTTTTTTTGGTTTTTGGGGTTACACCAAAATACACACATACAAAAAACCGAAGGGAGGGGGGTTCACCCCCCCCCCCCCTGCGTACGCGCCTGCTCGTCTGAATACAAGTTTCTTCCTCCCGCGCAAAGCTCGGAAGCTTTTACGTTTCATTAAATCATTAGGGGAAAGAAGACGATTCGTTGTACCGTTCTCGACTCGTCTGAATTTAATTTTTCCCTCCCCCCTCCCGCGCGAAGCGCAGAAGCTTGTACGTTTCATTAAATCATTACCAAAAGAAGACGATTCGTTGTACCGTTCTCGACTCTTAATTCTCATCTGAATTTAATTTTTCCTCCCCCCCCCCTCCCGCGCGAAGCGCGGAAGCTTGTACGTTTCATTAAATCATTACAGAAAGAAGACGATTCGTTGTACCGTTCTCGACTCTTAATTCTCGTCTGAATTCAATTTTTCCCTCCCCCTCCCGCGCGAAGAGCGGAAGCTTGTACGTTTCATTAAATCATTACAGAAAGAAGACGATTCGTTGTACCGTTCTCGACTCCTAATCCTTGTCTAAATTCAGTTACCCCACCTCCTGCGCGAAGCGGGGAAGCTTTGACATTTAATTTAATTATTACAGAAAGAAGACGATTCGTTGTACCGTTTTCGACTCTTAATCCTTGTCTGAATTTCGAAAATGTTTTTTGTCCCCTCCTTTTTCTTCCTACGTCCTCTTCCTTTTCTCTCCTCTCTTTTTTGGACGGCGATTTTTGTTTTTGTTTTTTTGTTTTTTGGGGGGAGGGGCCACTTCCCCCCTGGCTACGCGCCTGCGGTCAGATGAACATCTTTTAATACCTTGTCCGCCCCCGAGAACTCATGGGTTGAAGGCATATTACGGTCAGATAAGCATTCAGGGGCCCACCTCAGGGCCCCTGGTGGGGTCGAGGGTGCGGAAACCCCTGAATCTCAGGGGTTTCAGGCATTTGATTACGGTCAGATGAACATATTTTTATACCTTATTTGTGACACTGGCGGGACACTGATTGGCGTGAGGTCCAGCGGGCGGACCCCCCAGAAGAACAAGGGTTTTAGGCACTAAATTGCGGTCAGATGAGTTTTAAGGGGCCTGCCCAAGGGCCCTTGGTTTTAGGCGTTTTAGGCGTTTAATTACGGTCAGATGAGCATTTTGTGATACCTTATTTTGTTGTGACACTGGCGGTTAACTATTCTCTTTTCTTCCTTGCTATCTTTCTTTCCATTTTTCTTTAAAATGCTTTTCCAAAAAAAATTGGGGGAAGGGGGGGGGGGGGAGCTTGAGGCTCACGATCCCCGCCGTTCCTCGGACCCTGACATGTAGGCATCTCAAGAAGCATATTTCTTGCCTGGCCGTATTTACAAACGCATAAAAAAAAGTATAATTTAATAAAGAATGAGGAAAAATCTCGGAAAATTATGTCATTTCAGCAATATGTGTAAACTACTGCTATGGAATTAGAAATAAACCACATTTAAATTGTATTTCCCCGGAGCACCCTCCCCGCTCAATACGCCAGTGCCCCACCCCCCCCTCCGATCTACACTTTGTTGGCGGAAAAATCGCAACTGATCTCCCCTACCTTTCTTCTTTCTCTTTTTGTTCTTTCCCTTTCTCTCCTCTTTCTCTTCCCTTCCTTCTCTTTCTTTTAGGTTTGATGGGGGGGGGGGGGGGAGGGGGAGGCAAGGTCATTTCGGCCCCACCCTTCTCCATACGTTGTTGGCGGGATTAACTGCAAATTATCTATTTCCACTTCTTTTCACCTTTTTTTCCCGGTCCCTTCGCTCTCCTTTTTTCCTTTTCCTTCTTTCTCTCTTTTTAACGGGGCGGGGGAGGCAAGGGCCTTTTGCCCCACCCCACCCCGATCCACAACTTGTTGACGGAAAAATTGCAACTGATACCCCCTTCTTTCCATTTCCCAGTCCTACTCTCTTATTTTTTTGATTGGGGGAGGGGGGAGGCGAGGCTTTTTCGCCCCCCCCCCGATCACTTCTCCCCCCTTTTCTTTTCTTCCCTTCTCTCTCTCTCTGTTTTTTTTCCCTCCTTTTTTTTCCCTTCTTTTTTTTTCCCCTTCTTTTTTCCCCTCCTTTTTTTTTCCTTCTTTTTTTCTCAGGGGGGGGGGGGGGGGGGGGCCACCCCTGGATCCGCCACTGCCCCCCCCCCCCCCGTGAGGGCCACCTCTGCATTATCTTGATTCTTGAAATTGGGCCGTTTTGATAAACAAATATTTCAAAAATCCGAATTCGGCTCCCCGATCCGGGAAGCCGGGAATCCGAACTAACATCTTCATACGTATAAAATGGCGGAATTTGTGGACCTGGAAGACTGGCGCTTTGATTTGAATTCACATCCTATTTTCGAAAAACTACGGTTAAATCCACCCAGTCAACATGATGATGAGAGAGTTAACCCTGAAAATTTAATATTTGTACACGATGGTCAAATTTTCGTGTGGGAAAATGACACAGCAAGGCTTTTAACAGCGAATCTCCGAGACGTCATTGTCCAAGAACGAGCACTCAACACACTTCAGGTAAACAGCACACTGGTCCCATATGCGTATAAATACGTAGGGGGAAAGAATAACTTTCTTAAAGATGTGATTCACTGATTGATTTACATGCATAATTGATAAATGATGGGGAAACTTATGGCATTTCAATGTAGTCGTACCTCTGGCTCTGTAGTTTAATTCCAAATGGATATGATAAAGAAGTTGATAATCATTTGGCTTTTGCCTTTTGAGAAGATTTTGTACGAATTTTCAATGCCTAGACTCTAGACAGTAGACTCTAAATGGTGCATGGTGAATGGGTGGGTGACCAAACTCCAAAGTTCGCAGAGATTTTGAAAATATTACTAGGCCTAGAGAATGTGAATGTGATATTGAATATTCATGATATTCGATCTATGATTTCTCACATTCTACACAAATTTATTTATTTCAATTATTAACAAATGGATGGCAAATTTTTTTTACTAGAGGTCTACACATTGGTACGACTACAAAATTTATCGTCAAAGGATTCCGGACCCGGACCCGGCCCCCCCACTCTAGCTTTAAGGGCTCTCTCGAAATGTTTTTTTAATGATATTATTCGAGAGAGCCTTAACTTGCTCCCATACCCCTGCACGGAGAGGCATGTAAACAAAACTCAAAAGTGGTCCAAAATCACACTTTCGCGCAACCGACCAATATTGGACAGTGGCTTTGATAAATTTTGTCGTAGTTCTGGTCTTAATTACCGCCTTAATTTCAAAATCGGATCTAAAAATAACAAAATAAGAGCAATTTTCTTACCAGACCGATACAGCTCAGCTCCCTTTTCACGTGTACCGTGTGAATTCACGATGTCTACACAATGGTGATGACCTCTGACTGGCACTTCGTAAATGTGCTGCTTCCGTATAATGCGCTGAATAACACTCTTACAGCGCATTATACGGAAGCAGCACAATTTACCCACAATTACGGAAGTGCCAGTCAGAGGTCATCACCATTGTGTAGACATCGTGAATTCACACGGTACATGTGAAAAGGGAGCTGAGCTGTATCGGTCTGGTAAGAAAATTGCTCTTATTTTGTTATTTTTAGATCCGATTTTGAAATTAAGGCGGTAATTAAGACCAAAACTACGACAAAATTTAACAAAGCCACTGTCCAATATTGGTCGGGTGCGCGAAAGTGTGATTTTGGACCACTTTTGAGTTTTGTTTACATGCCTCTCCGTGCAGGGGTATGGGAGCAAGTTAAGGCTCTCTCGAATAATATCATAAAAAAAACACATTTCGAGAGAGCCCTTAAAGCTACCCCACTCAGTGTTATTTAGGGTACGCATATGCTCGTACCCTCTTTTTGAAAGCACCCCCTATCTGAGGACTGCCAACATTTCCTAACCCCCCTTTCGCAGGCTTTTCGCAGGCTTTTCGCGGGCTTTTAGCTGGCTTTTCCTCCCTTGGAGACCCCCCCCCCCCCCCCCCCCCCCCCCCCCCCGAATCAGGAAAAATGCTCAATGTACCCCCCTAAATTCGGAATAATTTCTCAGGAGTCCAAAGAGATGAGAGAAAAAAAGAAAAACACCCCCTTTTTAAAGAAATCTCCGGGTGAAAAGTCAAATACACCCCTTTTTTTACAATTCTCGTGCCGTACTTTGTCGCATGAAAAGTACCCCTTTACTGGACATTTCGGCAACACGCATGCGGTCATTCCGACCTCTGAGTGGGGGGGGGGGGGCGGGTTCCGGAGATATCACAATCTAAAAATTTGATGTTGTATCGGCGTGCGCGCTGCAACTAAAAAAGTCATAAACAACGAGACCTTACTTCACGCACAGGTATTCATTGGTACAGCTGATTTATTTTAAAATGCGATCCATCAAAAAAAAGGTGATATCATATTGCAAGGCAAGATATCATACAATCAGTAGGTACCGTAAATTAGTAGTGGTACCACTTTTACTTACAATCTGCTATCAAAATGAAGATTTTCAGACCCCAATCGGTAAGTTAATTATTTTTGGAACAGACGCAATGTGCACAATTTGCTGATCTTTTGTCAATAATTTCATAATTTCACACCCAATTCCAAAGAAAAATTTGTCTATGGGTAATTTTATGTTCCACTTTCTATTGATGATATCAGATTTTCCAAATCTTACCAATTTTTTAGATAGCGAACTTACATGTAGGTCACGTGCGATCTATGGTCACACCGCAATACGATTTATGTGTTTGCAACTTTTGCATATGTCTGGAGAGGTCTAGATCTAGCTGTAATTTATTCATTATTGTAAACAAATTGGGGAATGAGTAGGAGGGCGCTTATTCAGAACTGTGACCATACTTTGGACCCATGACTCGGACTTTAACACACCAAAAATCATCTAAATCTTTCACAATTGTTCAAATATGGTCATGATTTAAAATTCATAACCCTTCTTACCTATTTCGTGTCAATTGACTTAGCATTTTTGGAGCATTTTTTCTAAAAACAAAGACATTAATATACACTTTCTGACAGGTTTCACTGCAAACTACTGCACAAGTACATACTGTACTGTTAGTGGGCTGGGTTGTATTCGCGCAGGCGTGCATGAAGATAGCAACTGTAATCTCAGATCCTCATTAAATTCATGCAATGAATGTAATTCACATTATGAATTGATGATGATCATTACAGTCGCTAACTTCATGCACACTCGCATGCCAGCCAAGCACCCACCTTCGGTATGCACTTGTGCAGTGGTTTGCCGTGAAACCTGTCAGAGAGTGTATACTAATACCTTTGTTTTTGAAGAAAAATACTTTTAAAAAGATAAGAAAATTGACACAAAACAGGTAAGAAAGATAGTGACTTTTAAATCCTGACCGTTATGTGAATAATTGTGGAAGATTTTAATGATTTTTAGTGTGTTATAGTAAGGTATCTCCACACTGGAGTCAGGGGTCCAAGTAAGGTCACAGAACTTTCTGAACAAGCGCCAGTAGGAGAAGGTCTAAACTCTACTGTAAAAAATGGTTTGATTTCATGGATTTGTTGAAAATAGATGTGAATGTTTGATAGAAAGGAAGAAGAATACTTGCCCAAAACCAAGATTACTGCCTGGTAGTGGGACAAAACTTTGTAACAGGCTGTGTACCTTTTTGTAGATTAACATGATATGATGAAGAACTCACAATTCAATCATCAGAAGATTTTTTGTTTGGAAGATGTGTGCATTGTGAGTTTGCCCGAAATGACGTTTGGCTGAAATTGCTCTAAAGACTAGTCTAGTAGTCTTTTCTCATAAATCTCTATACAAGACTGTAGACTCATGTTCATCACGTTAATGAATTTTTTTCGTTATATGTGTACAGTCAAAGAGGGGAAACTGGTTGATCACGTTTAGTTATTTGTCCCAAGGCCTTAAATATCTGATAATGATTGTTCCATTTTTACAGGTTCTTCTGTGCATCAATGCCCCTGTCTTTGATGTTGAACACATAGTACCGAGTCCTTGTGGACAGAATGTCTTACTCTACGGCAAGAGAGGTGCCAGCGTGTTGGTGCTTCCCCGGAGACACGGCAAGCATGGATTGTTTGAAGGAGGCAAGGCACAAATCAACTGCAGGTTGGTACAAAAAAAATTAAATGTAATCTTGTCAGTCTAATACTAGATTGATAGCAATGTGTCATCATCACAAGAATACCTTCCTGATTTTCTCTGCCTTTCTCAATAAAATCAAGTGTCTTTAGTCCTTCATAGGAAAAAAAAAATGAAATTCTTCTCTTTATTATGATACCCTTACATCTATTTTGCTTGCCCACTTTTTTGTGAAGAACGGTAAAAGAAAAGGTTTGTGTCGTATTCATGAAAATCCCATGTTTTCTGGCTACATTGATAAATAGATGGAGCCTATGAAATGTTGACTTGTACTGATGCTTGGTATTTGCCAGTCTTGAACATTAAAGGTAATACAAAGTTTTGGTATGGGGTCATGAATTTGGTTCAAATTAACATATTGGAAGCATATGTGATCCTACAATATTCAGTGATCGTTGTCGCTTGATGCTTGATGTGGTAATCCCTGAAGCAGCTTTTCCAAGCTATACTGGAATGGGATGTGTTGTGACAGCAGGTGAAGGTGCAGACAACAAAAGGGTGTACAATTGCTTTATACAGTAAAATAGTGACGTGCAAGTAAAAATAATCATGCTGCTATATGGTTTACAGCATTCTGGAACCTACAGGAGGTTCCAACCCTCTGATGACAGGGAGGGCGGTCATCTGGAAAGCAGCAACTGATGGGGCAGTAACTGCAGTGAATGGTAGTTGATTCCAGATGCGAATGGTGCGGGGGTAAAATGAGTACTTGTAGGAGTCGATTGTTGCCTCAGGAACAGAGAGCTTGAGTGTGTGGTCTCTTCTGCTGATGTATGTAGCTTTGGTTATGAGGTGAGGAAGACAAATGTTGACTAGCTGGTAGTGTATTTTAAAGAGCATGGTGCTTTGTGCTAGAAGACGACGTGTGTGCAGTTTATCCCATCCCAGCTGGGAAACAAGCCCTGTAGCTGACGTGGATCTTTGGTAGTCGCGGAAGACAAAACGAGCAGCTGTTTTCTGTACCCTTTCCAGACCTTCGGCAGCACCAGAAGTGTGAGGGTTCCAGGCTTCAGCGCCATACTCTAGCTGCGGTCGAACCAGGGCTGTGTATGCTCTTGACTTCACATCCTTGGTGCATGGTGACAGGGTTCTCCGCAGCAACCCAAGGGTTTTGTTGGCCTTGTTCAGTAGGAGTTGGCAGTGTGTATTCCATCGAAGGTCCTTGGTTACAGTTACCCCGAGATACTTGTACTTGTCTATCCTGGGTATTATCTCGTTGGAAATCTGGTAGTCATGCTGTATTGGTGTTCTTTTCCTCGTGATGGTAAGGGAGGCGCACTTCTTGACATTGAAAGCCATGAACCATTTCGCTGACCAGTCAGACAAGGTTTGAAGGTCTTGCTGAAGGATGGAGGTGTCATTCTTAGTGTGAATTTCTCTGTAGATCACACTATCGTCAGCAAAAAGGCGCATCTTGGACTGGATATTTGCAGTGATGTCGTTGATGTACAGCAAAAGAGGGCTGGTCCGATCACTGAACCTTGAGGTACCCCAGAGGTAACAGGCATCCAAGATGACCGGGAGCCCTTGACAACAACTGCTTGCTGCCTGTTGGAAAGTAGCGACATAGTCCAATGTAATGTGTCTCCTCTTATGCCATAATGCTCGAGCTTGGTCTGCAAGTGGCGATGAGGTACTCGGTCGAAAGCTTTCTGGAAGTCAAGGAAGATGACATCTGTTTGGCCTCTGCATTGTAAGGTGTGTGCCCAATCCTGGGTAGCAGAGATGAGTTGTGTGGTGGTGGAGAGTTTCTGCCGAAATCCATGTTGGTCATCTACCAGGATGTTGTTGGCAGCTACATGTTTCGAGATATGGCTGAGCACTATGTGTTCCATTAGCTTGCTGCAGATGCAGGTCAAGGAAATAGGTCTGTAATTTCCTGGATCACACTTATCACCAGACTTGTGGATGGGTGTTACCAATGCATGCTGCCATTCAGCTGGAACAGTGCCAGAGTTGTAGCTCTGCTGAAAAAGGAATCCTAAGGCAGGAGCAATCTCGTCAGCTACAAGCTTGAGGAGTTTAGGTGGAAGTTCGTCTGGCCCACAAGCTTTGGATGGGTTGAGATTTGACAGCTGCTTTGCCACACCAGGACGATGAATGTGTAGATGGCCGATATCAGGAAAGTGTGAGGAACCTTCCATACGAGCATGACAAACCTGTTGGTTGGTGAATACCGAGTGGAAGAAGGAGTTGAGACACTCTGCTTTGTCTTTGTTGGTCGTGTGGATGCCTTTGTCAGATCTAAGCGATGGGATTTCCATATTCTCAGTCCGACACTGCTTAACATAGGACCAGAAGGTCTTGGGATTCCCTTGCAGACTGTTCCCTATGATGTTGTTCACGTAATCGTGGTGTGCTTGGTGAACTAGTTTCGCTACCACGTTGCGGTGCTGTCTGAAAGCCTTCCATTTTGATGTACTGGGGTTTCTACGGGCTTTCTTAAAGAGCCTATCACGCTTCCTCATTTTTCGTTTGAGGTCGGTGGTGATCCACGGAAGGTGTCGCCGGGATTTGCTCATCTTTGATGGTATCAGATCCTCCATACACTTCTTGAGGAACACAGATATCCTGTTCCAATTCTCATCTACAGTTTGGAGCTCTGGAGATGAAAGGAAGAAATCGATTGAAAACTTTTCAACAGTTTCTTTAATGATCTGGTGGTCTGCTCGGTGGAATTGGTAGATCTTCCTGGGAGGGGCACGGGCTGTTTTCGGATGAACACGAGTCTAAAGTGATGAAAATTTAAATAATAAGCTCTTTTTGTTGTATAGCTCCCTCTCAAGGTCAAGATATTGATACAGCTATCAAACAATGTTTCTTGACTAAAATCGACCGATTTGCTATCCCCGTTTGGAAATTATATATCACAACTGCATAATCTGAGATTTTCATGGTCGCGGCTATCATTGTATGGCCGTAGGCGCTATTTGAAATTTTGAAATTCATTATATCTCAAAATCATAAGTGTTTTACGGGCTAATTTTTTTAGTGCTTATATGCATCCGCATGGGCATCTAAATATATCAAAATTGTAAGGAATCAATATCCAGCCAATTTTCAAAATTTACCAAAACTTTGGATTACGGTACCTTTAAAGAAAGAAAAGGGCAAAATATTGTAAGAAAGACAAAAACTAAATATGTGGAACGTGCAAACATGAATGAAATATGAATGAAAAATATCATATTCATAAGCAAGTGTCATAGTTTCCACCTCTCTGTTTCTTTTGTAAGGATTACTCCAATTGCTGAGAGGTTCTTCATCTCCAACACCTCACTGAGTCTACTGAAGGCCGCTTGGTATCCAGGGGGTGAGAACGACATGCATCTATCTATGCTCACCTCGGACAACTACTTCAGGTTAGAATTATTATGTGTATAGAGGCATTTCATGGAAAATAAAAAATCAGTAAATTGGCAATATCAGTAAATTGGCAATATCTCCAGAATTACCTGAGCTTCGATGACAATCCTGGTTTTAAACACAAGACCTCCACAAGCTCATCAAGTTGAGTGGAATATCAATGGATTTGAACTACTTTGAAGTATGATTTTCTTCAAAAACAAAGCTTCGGGGCAAAATGTGGCAACAATTTGGGTGAAAACATCCTATCTTTGAGTCTCATTATTTCATGCTACAAACGCTTCAGATTAGATTTTGCGGTAGTGAATTGTGATGTATGTAGATGAATACTGAAAATAACCCAGAATAGAGAAAATGTATGGTATCATCCCCAGATAAGGCGAAAATCTGTCGGGTTTTTATTTGAATAACATCCTGGAAGGTTTGTTCAGATATGGAGTGGTAAACTGCTGAAATAAAAGCTGCTGTTTTTATTACATTTAAATGAATGGCAAGTGCGAGCAGCAAAGGATATGTGCGCGCATTCACTGAGGTCTGTGTTATTAGAATACAGTAAAGTGAAGCCTATTTCACTTTACGTCACCATGAAATAACCGCTGAGTTTTGCTTATCGTATCTAAACGAGCCTGAAAGAGAAGGTTGAGTTCTTGAAAGAGGTGAATAAAAAATTGTGAGCCTTATTATTGTCAACAATTGCAAGTGTGGAAGAACATCAGAGAAAAAAATGTTACCAGAAAAGCATGGCTCTTCAAATATGACAAGTAACAGGTTGAAAATGAGCCTGATTTTTATGCCACATGTTTGTGTAGTCCCATATACATCTTTCTGTGTACAGTGCCTGGTACTTTACAAGACTGGGCCAAATTTCTTATCATTTTTACGACTCCAGAACCTTGCAGTACACAGGATACTTATATGCTACATGATCAACTTTTCTGATTGATTCCAATCCGTTTCTTTCACAATGCAATCACATGACCAGAACTTGACTTCATCTTTTTTAAATGAGTGTAATGTTTGCCTCCTCCCCTACAGACTGTATGACATCAATTCACCTCTCAAGCCTGTTCAGACCCATAGATTGGGATCCCACGCCACCAGCTTTGCCTTGTCTTCTTCCCACTCCACGTTCGATGCAGCGCTGGGTGAGATCGCTATCGCCTTTGACTTTGGCCCGCCCTCTGTTGTCCAGAGCAACACAGTGTCCAGAGGAGCAGGGACGGAGAACCTCCTATACCCCGTCTTTATCCTCCGGGGGAATGGGGATATCTATGTATTGAATACGAGCTTGACAGATGTCAGGTAAGACTTGTTGTTCTTGAACATAATTATGATAATAATAATAAGAATAGGCATTTATATAGCACCGTCTATCTAGACAATTCTATTCCGTGGTGCACAAGAAGAAAAAAAAGAATAAGAGAGTTTGAATCAGTGTCATAGTGCCAAGTACAAGTATTGTTAAAAAATATAAGATTTCAGCTTGGATTTAAAGGTCTCTAAAGAAGTTATGATATTCTATTTGGAGGCAACTCCACGGTATTTGGTCATTTTGAGTGTCCTAAGTGTTACCAAGTGAAATATAGTGAAACATAAGTTAAAATCCAAACTATTGTTTTACTTGATAATTGGTCTGATTCAAACTCTATGAGGACTGTCAACCTTATACAATCATAGAATATTCTAAAATGGTAGGTGTGGTTGGGAACATTTGGCACAAAATACCTTGGACTTGCCATTTTATCATAAATAATTCAGAGCGATTATCTTCGTGTTGCTTCTACATGTAGGTTGACTTCATGTGTTGCTCATTGAAAGGGCACCAGTCACACACACAAAGTGATTTGTTTACACCTCCATCTTTAGAGAGATTTTTTTTAAAAAATCACCAAATGCAAATGCTTGACAATGAAAGTGCAACAAAGGGAAATAATGGTTTTACTTTTCTTACCATCAATTAGATTAGAATTTCAGGAGTGATAATTGCAATACCTCTTGTAAGAAATGAGAATTAAAGCCCATATTTTGAATAAAGAATACCAGCCTAAAACTTCTGGAATCCTCGAACATAGACAGCAAAATGGTTTTGGTGATAGGGCCTCTTCATTGGCTCTATTCAAGTTTTGTGTTGTGGTCTAGTGGCTAGGTCTCCAGCCTGTGAACCACAAGGTACAGGGTTCTAATCCCTGCAGTAGCACAATTGTCCTTTGGCAAGACATTAGTGCACATTTGCCACACTCAACCCTGCTGTAGGAGGCAGGTACCTGGTAGGATTTATTTCTTGAATGCACTGAATTCTAAGGTTGTGGAGCTAATTCTGAGGTAATAATATCCTAAATCCTTTGGAATCACAAGGTACAGGGTTCTAATGCCTGCCACAGCACAAACATCCTTTGGCAAGACGTTAATGCACATATGCCACACTCAACCCTGCCGTAGGAAGTGGGTGCCTGGTAGGATTTATTTCTTGAATGGACCGAATATTGAGGTTGTGGAGCTAAAGCTGAGGTAATAATATCCCAAATCCTTTGGAAGCACATAGAAACGTTAAATATCATTATGGGGTATGTACTAAAGAAGAATGAAATATGATGTTATTATTATTGTTAACAGATATGCCCACACCAAGTTGCTTGGACCTCTCCCCATGCATCCACCTGCGGAGGATAACTATGGCATGGACGCATGCAGTCTGTGTTGTCTCGAAAGCCAACCACCTGTGCTCGTTGTTGCTACCACATCAGGCCTTCTCCACCACTGCATCCTTGTTGCCGGGGAAACGGATGCAGAGGATGACGATGTAAGAACAAATCATCTTGAAATATTCCAGTGGCAGTGGTAGTACTATAGCTATAGTGGTAGTGATTATGGTAGTGGTTGTGTTTATATAGATAGTGGTGGTGTCAGTAGTAGTGGCAGTGGTGATGATGGTGGTGGTGGTGGGGGTGGTGGTGGTGGTGGTGGTGGTGGACTTGAACAATAATTCTGTCTCAAATTGCATTTATCGTGGGGTTTGTAATAAACCATTCCTTTGTAAAACTTTTGTTAAAATGCAATGAAGGAAATGATGAGCAAAGTATCCCCACTTGGCCGAGGTAAATGATTTTCTCTTTAGAAAATGCTCTTTAAATTCGTCGCTGTTTTCACGAAGTGACGGTAGTGAAAAAAAATTGCATTCACTTTGCGTTATGATTTTCCTCACTACCGTCACTTCGTGAAAACAAGGACGAATTATAGAAAGCATGATACATGTAGAGTGCAAACAATTTCCTGAAAATATTTCTATTAGAACCACACTGTTCTTCTATGACATTTGGGCAACAGAGAAAAAAGATGTAACTTCCTCTTTTAACATACAATTTGATAATCATTTTGATTGTGTATCATATTTTATGTTGATCTAAAGAGTGATTCGTGAGTCAAAGGCTATCATCGTCACTTGAAATTGTTAAAATATACTTACTTTGACTTGTGCCCTCTATTGGCAGGCAAGCATCCTATCAAGTGATGTATCAAGCATAGCGTCACTGGCCCCGAGAGATAGCGGATTCTCTCTCTTCGTGTATGAGACGGTAGAACTGACTAGATGTCCTGTAACGGTGGAGGATTATGACACCGATATATCGTATCCTATTATGCTACATTCAGGTAAATTACGGAGAGTGGTGGTGAATGGATACTGTTGATACGGTTAAAGGGAATGTTTATTGTTTAATTATGTAATAATAAGAAATTATTTGTAAGCTTCTTCATTCATAGGACGCCATTTTGGAAAAAATGTCATAGTTTAAAGCCCCACTGTCCTACTTGCTCCCTCTATATAGAAATCTTCCCCAATCGGTGCCTATTGGTCCCCCATGATCCTCTTTTTCTTATGTTAGTTGAGAGCTGAGTTGATGAGATAGCCACCTGTCAGTGACCTGGCTGGGTGGTCTAATCCCTTCTGGCCCAGTAGTATTGACGGTCTTTAAATGTCCTCTGAAAGAGATTGCTCTACATTTGCCCTTGTATTCACATTTCACAATGCTCAATTCTGGCATGTATAAGTTTGCAGAATTTCAGTAGTTTAAAATTTTGGTCTGAGCACTGTGTTTGGTGTAAATAGTATATTGATATCATATAAATTATAAGTGCTTGGAATAGATGTTAGCACTTGCAGTAAGTTTTTGTTATTTTTAATTTTTTGAATCTGTTCTGTTTTAATATGTAGACCCCTCATCATGTAAGAGGTTCTTCTGTTCACACAGCGGTGGAGTACATAGCGTCATCTTAGCCTGGTTGGACAAATTAGAGAAGTTCTGTGGTAATGGTATGTATGATTCTGTCTCATTCCCTATCACTATGAATATGACGGACAAAGAAAGAGGACAAAATAAACAGTTCCTCATTCTACCCTCGACAATTGCTGTGGTAGACAAAAGAACATCCTTTCAGTGCTACTTTGTAAAAATGTGTAGAACAGGTGAATATGCATGTGACACCTGTTCTACACATTTTTACATAATAGCAGTGAAGGGATGTTCCTTTGTCTACCACAGCAATTGTTGAGGGTAGAATGAGGAACTGTATATTTTGTCCTCTTTCTTTGTCCGTCATGTTTATGGTGTATCTTTTATTTCATCCTTCCCTCTCTCTCTCTCTCTCTCTCCTCCTCCTCTGCCTCCCTTGCTTCCAACCTTTCTCCCTACCTCCTTTGCTCGCTCTGTCATTCACTCATCTAGTGCTGAGCTCGGAACCCAAAACCCAGACCCGGCCTGGCCCGGCAATTTTCCAAATTTCTAAACGGGACCCGGAAAGGTCCGGTAACCAGAACAGAGTTGCACTGAAATAATATTGACTTTTAAGAAGGCTATTAACAGGCTACTACATGTGCAAGTAACACATCTTGTAAGACCTACTGACCTTGTTTTTTTTATTCTGCTGTGGTCTAGACATGCCATGTGCTGCAACTTCCAGCCAGGATTCAAGACAGTTACAAGAAGCCCCAGGTCAACATACATTATCTTCCCTTAGTCTAGACCAATCCCTATAAAGATAAGGCTAGGCAGTCACATGCATGTCCCTATCAGAGTGCCCATCCCACATGCTCTACTATGATCGGTCCGTTTGTCTGTCAATTAAAAACAAGCATGTGTTATACGCGCAACTGAGATTTGTTTACATTAGAATATGCTAGCCTGGTAGCGAAAACAATGGCCCTATTGAACATTTGAACCTTTGAACCCTGGTCAGAGAAACCGCGATGTCATGTTACACTCAGCTGGGTACCAGATGTCTGGCTTGCATTAATCAATCTTTTATCTGTGTTTTTGTTTTTTGAATGTAATGGGGGAAGTACTGAGAATGAGTGAAAGTCGATAGCGAAAGAGATAAAGATATGTGAATGAATTTGGGGGAGCTAGGGATCAAGAAACAAAATAAAAGAAACTTAAGAAAGAAAAGAAAACATGCACAAATCTGCATTAATTAATTAAATAATTCTGTACTTTTTAAAGAAAGAAGATCAGTCTAAATGCAATATTTGAGGGGGAAATAGGTCAAAAAAATATTTGAAGATGAATAAATAGAAAAGGAAAAAAAAAGGGAGAGATGGAAGGAAGAATGCATGATGATGAAGATTACTCCTTCCTTCTCATCTCTAAAGACTTTCAACATTTAACTCACTTATCCTTTTTTTCTTTCTAATCTGGGCTTAAACTGTTTGTAAAAGAAATCTAAAGAATCAAGGCAAAGAGACAGTGGAATAATAAGAGAGGATGGACCCCAATAATTATCTTCAGATATTAAATTAGCTTATGTATTGTATGCTAATTAATCCGCTAGTCAGGAAGTAATTTGGTGATGAAATTACTCTTTGAATGTCTGCCGACTTTATCCCAGCCCAATCCGGCGGTTTAGAACCCAGTAGGCCTTCCGAGCTACAGCACTACACTCTCATCCCTCAATCTCTCCATCCCTCCTCCTTTCTTGCCTTTCATGTTTTCTCCCTTCCACCACTTCACCCTTTTCCATCCAAAATACACACCACCCCACTTATCTCTCTTTTCTTCCTTTCTCTGTCTATCTCTCTCCTTCTCTCCCTCTTCCCTTCCCTACATGTCATTTGATGATTAAACAAGTTTGTTAAACTGTAAATAGCCTCTCTCAATCTCTCTCTCTCAATATGTTGTCCTTGCCTTAATCTGCTACATAACATTTGATGATGTAACAAGTTTGTTAAACTATAAATAGCCTCTCTCAATCTCTCTCTCTCAATATGTTGTCCTTGCCTGAATCTGCTACATAATGTTTGATGATTAAACAAGTTTGTTGTACTATAAATGCCCTCAAACAGTACATATAACTTTTCCGGCTAATCATCTGATATACCTGTCAGACCAAGGAGACCAAGACTGTTCTCAGACAGAGCAAACATAGATGTTTATTCAGTTACATTTATGTAGTTTGGCAACCCTTCGTTTTGGGGGATAAGATTGAAGTATATCTGATGATTATATCAGTTAAAAGCCTTCCTTGAGATTGCATCACACCAAATTAAAAGTGAAATGACACATTTGATGCCAATTTATGTTAATAACTGCTACAGTTCTTGGTAATATTTGGGACACTGAATGATCAAATACTTTGGAGTAAAATAGATATGTGTACATGATGTGACCCATTCTTTATTTTGACCTCTTGATTCTTACTGATAGTTTATTTATATATTGATTGATTTATCTATCTATCTGTTTTGTTTTTGTTTGGGATAATTTATTTATTCATTCGTTTATTTATTTATTTTTTATTTATTTTTATTTATTTATTAATTTGTTCATTAGTTCAATTATATATTTCTTTCTTTATTTATTCAGTCATTCATTTTGTTTGTTTTTTGGTCTTTGTTTAACAGACGGGGCAGAAGAGGAAGAGAGCATACATGAAGTGAACCAGGATCATCCTTGTATACTGAGACACATGATTTGTACAATGCCCTCAGAAACTTGGTAAGTCTGAAATATACTTATTCCAATGTACAGGACCACAAACCATCTAAGATTCAGCGAAATGAAACAATTTGGAAACAATGATTTGATTTAAATTGCTGATATAGATCATATTTTCAAAAATTGTAAACCCTTAGCATCGTTTCATGAGAATGTAAGTACAAGTTCATCGACATCCCATTGAATCATGTGTTCAATTTTTTCTAATGTTGTTCTCATTGTTCTCATTTGTTGCTTCTTACTTACCTAAAGTGTAGTTTTTGTTAATTTGTACACTTGTTATAAATTGTTCATGCTTGTATTGATGTATAATTCATTAATTGTGCGCCAGTGGTACCTATTTCATGTAAGTGCAGAATTATTATTATTATTATTATTATTATTAATTTCAATACATGCGTTTCGATGGGATGTCGGTTAAACTTGTATGTGAGATGGTTTCGTGAAACAACACCCTGGTTCTCATGTTATTTTATCTTTCTTGTTTTCTTCAGCGCTCCATCTCCCATTCTTGGTGTGGCAGTCATCATCGATCAGTTGCTAGGCAACAGCCTCCTCTGCTTGACTCACAACAGAGAATGTATGGCCACACCCCTCTTGTAAGTGGTATCAGTGGTTATGTTTGAACAAATGTGTTCATGTACATGTACATGAAAATGCCCGTGTATGATATTTTTTCTCTCATGTTTTGCTGTTATCTCATCATCATCATCATTATGAGGATGATGAGCTAACAGCAAAACATGAGATGATGATGATGATGATGATGATGATGATGATGATGATGATGATGATGATGATGATGAAATTGATGATGATGATGATGAAATTGATGATGATGATGATGATGATGATGATGATGATGATGAAATTGATGATGATGATGATGATGATAATGATGATGATGAAATTGATGGTGATGATGATGATGATGAAATTGATGATGATGATGATGATGATGATGATGATGAAATTGATGATGATGATGATGATGATGATGATGATGATGATGATGATGATGATGATGATGATGAAATTGATGGTGATGATGATGATGATGATGATGATAATGATACTACTTATACTACTACTAATATAACGATAAATAATAATGATGGTGATGATGATGACGATGACGAAGACGATGATGGTGATGATGATGATGATAACAATAATAATGATGATCAAGATCATGATACTACTACTACTAATAATACATGATAAATGATAAATGATAAAGATTATGATGATGTTTATTATCATTATCATACAACCAGGCCCTTAGAAACCACTACCCCACCCCCGCTGATGTCCGAAGGGAGGGATGATAAGCCCCCTGTGTCCCCTCTCAGGCAGGCCAACCCAGAACCGTTCCAGAAGTACATCAAGAGACTCCTGCAGAGGAACCACTCCAACCCTATCCTCAAGTAAGTGCAAACATACAATCAGGCCCAAAGAAGCCACTACCCCACCCCCGCTGATGCCAAAAAAAAGGGTGGGGGGGGGGGGGGTGGTGGGCCCCCTCACTTCTGATGTTGGCCTCAACCTGCATACCCTCAACTGGATAGTTTAAACCTTTGTCAGTCGTTTTGCACAATAAGTGTCTGCAAAATGAGACAGATCTAGGCTCAAGGCTTTAGGATTTGTAGTTAAGTGTCAAATTTAAAGTGTGTTTTCAGAAACAAAGCAAAAACAAATTATATGATAGAAACTACATGTAGGTATTACAAAGTGGTTTAAATTACTAAGCAATGTCATGTATGTAGAGAAATGTTTTACTCTTGCCATTTGTACCCATCTTACAGAATTCTTGGGATGGAAATATTTTGATGGTCCTAAGAATTTAAAATATTAAAATAAATCCAATTCGAAATTCTGAGGTGCATGTAGGAATGTGATACAATTTCAGCTCAATTTTGTGTCACTTGGGATGAATACAAATTCTTGAAACTTTGAGAATATTTAGAATATGTATGAGATTGCATTTATTTGTTTAATTGTATGATAATTTTGTATTATTTCCTTTGTCAGGACGAGTAATAAGACGCAGCTAAATCTTGAAGAATGCTTCCAGCTGCTCCTCCGAGCCACCAAAACCCTAAGAGAAGAATATATTCACAAGCAAGACACTGCCAAGGAAGAGATAGAAAAGAGGTCAGTGTTCCTATTCCTGCAACAAATCTTATTTATTTTATCAGGAAAATTGAACCTTAATAGACAGCTACTCTAAAAGAAAGTTATGAACATATTTTGTGTCCTGTGGCAAGACATTAATCTACATTTGCCACACTGGACTCAAGTGATGTAAATGAGTACCTGACATTGATCGATTCCTTGAAATGCCAGAGCGCCATAATGGCAGCCATGCTAAAGCGGGAGTAATAATTGTCGAGCGCTAGGAGTGTCAAGTCTGTCACACATGAGCGCGGCTATACAAGAACCCACTATTGTTATTATTTTTGTTTAATTGCAGAGTTAAGATCTTGAAGCAGCAGAAACAGCAGCAGTTGGCAGATCTTGCAGAGTGCCAGCAATTAAAGGGAGATATCAGCATCAAAGCAGAGGAGCTAGCCTTGAGGTACAGTGATGCTGAGGACAAACAGGAAGAACTTCTCAATAGGTATGATTTAAGTGCAATCAAACCTAGAGTGCATAAAAGACATATGACCTTTGACCATATAAAAGACGGAACAATAAGGGCAACCTGCAATATGTTCATTTGTATGAATTGAAAGCAGAAAAATAAGAGAAACGGGAGTGGTGAAAGTTTGAAATAAATCAGACCATTGTTTGAAAGAGGAAGGCACCAAATCTATGCAAATTTCGAGTTGCCAAGTTGGTCGGTGGAATTTGAGGTAGTAATGGACAACTCTCGCATTTGTCGTGTACAAAAAATGTAATAATTTTTTTGTTTTTCTCCTGGGTGCCTTATCCCTTGGGGCACTACTCAAAATATAGAATGTATAGCATTTCATTATGGGTCCTTTAAAAAAAAAGACCCTCCTGAGTCACTTGTTTGAGGAAAATCTAATGACAATTAGAAATTTATGAATTTCTAGTTGTAATTGATCAAGTGCAAATTGGCAATTTTGTGATGTACCTAAGACTGTACGTCTAAGTTTATAACCATGATGTTTATTTTGTTTAAATGTAGGGTTGGCATTGTCCGACAAACTCTCCATAGTCGGCTACCCATCTGGGCCCTGTCTTACAAAGAGTTGTGGTTGATCCAAATCAATCGCCATTCCTCCAATCAATTGCAAGTTTGCAGTCTCCCATCTCTTATGTACATAGTTGCGATTGATATAAATCACAAATAAGTTGCGGTTGATTCAACTCTTTGTAAGACAAGGCCCAGATCTGAGAATGTACATCACATAATGTTTGTTTGATAATTTATTTTTTTAATGTTTTATTTTTTTATTTGTAGGGTAAGCATTGTCCTACACACTCTGCAGAGTCAGCTACCCATCCTGTCTGAGGCTGAGCAGGGTATGAGAACAGAGTTAGAATCAATGCAGACTAAGATAGAACATCTTAAGACGTCACTCAAACAGGTTAGTCAATGATTGCACATAGCTCATTTTTATGCCTCCGCTACAAAGTAGCCAGAGGCATTACATGTATGTTTTCAGGTTGTCCGTCCGTTCGTACGTACGTACCTCTGTCCGTAAGTCCCGTTCTCGTGATCGCGTTATCTCAAGAACCAATTGATGGATTCCCACCAAACTTAGATCATGTATGTGTCTTGCAGAGCCAATAAACTGAGTAGATTTTAGGGTCGCGAGATCCAAGGTCAAAGGTCACGGGGCTCATTATGTATGCAAAAATAGCTCGCTTCTGTTTTGGTTTGTAAAATTGCTTCATGGCGGAGGCATCATTTTCGACTGCGCGCGGTCGAAGGTCCATCTAGTTTTCAATCTTCTCACTCACGAAATTGTTTCTAGTCCAGGGGGATGTTTCATAAAGACTAAGATCGACTTTAAGTTGGGACCTTAACTATGACAGGCGATTCATGCCTCTGGTTGCTCTTACTATTGATCTCTCAATTATGATCTTTAGATAAAAAAATAAATAAATTAAAGAGTAAATTCTGTAGATTTGTGACCACGAGTTTTCCCCCCTTTGAGAAACCAATGCCAGGAATGGTTTAGAGGAACTAGTGGCATGAATGGCCTGCCATAGTTAAGTCCAACTCAAAGTCGATCTTAGTCTTTGTGAAACACCCCCCCCCCCCCCCCCAGTACTATCCGTGAGGCAAAAGCTTTCCTTAGCTTCACTGAGAGTACTGGATTATCCGTCCCTGGACAAAAAGCAAGGGTGGGGCTAGGCATATGAAGGGGGTGCTATTAAAGTGCTCAAATGAGAACAGAATCAAAGTCAGGGGCAAAGAATTGCAGTGAATGCCATTGCTGTATAGATATCCATATTAGCCACATGTATCTGAAGAGTCCTTGGGTTTCTGATTTTGAGTGAGAAAGCACTATTTTTCTTAGCCCTGACTTTAAATACAAGTGAGAGAAAATGAAAACCGTAGACCTGGGACCCGTTTCACAAAGCCTTTTTTCAATAAAAAATCACAAAATGCAGTGACAAATCTGCTGATAACCAATCAGAGGCAAGGATTTCACTAGCTTATAACAAAAACTGTCATTTGTCACTGATGACAAGTTTTGTGAAATAGGGCTACATAGTTAGGAGTTATGGATACTATGGGGCTTAGAAGGCCAAGTGTGTCAAGTATATTAAAGGCTTTGAAATATAGTGTAGATCCGACAAAACAGTTGCTGAAAAGATGTGGTCTTTGAACTTTCATTGAGAAACCACCTTTTGGCCCTGTGGGAGCAAGTAAAGGCTCAAACATACAGTTAAACACTAAATTATTCATACCCCTCGTTAATTTCATGTTTTTTGGATGTTTCGTAACTCAAGAATGAAAAGTGAACTGGTTGAATTAGGGCGTGTGTTCAATGCTTTTAAATGTAAAATTTAATATGTTACATTCCGAAGACATATCAAATTTTCACATACTTGAAAAATTACAAACTTGGCGAGGGTATGAATAATATAGTTTTTAACTGTCTATAAAGTATGTATATATTACATAATCGATTATTTTGTTTGATCCAGGTGAAAGCCAAAAACATATATCAGCAGAAGCATGCAGAGAAGCAACAGAAAATCAAGACACCTCCGGCTTTGAGTCAAGTACAAGAGAAACAGCTGAAATCCCTTCTCAAAGAACAGTAAGTAATTGAGATATAAAACCAAGTAAATAATGATAATGATATTGATCATGACAATGTTGAGGCTGATGGTGGTGGTGATGGTGGTGGGGGTGGTGGTGGTGGGGGTGGTGGGGGTGGTGGTGGTGATGGTGGTGGGGGTGGTGATGGTGGTGGTGGTGGGGGTGGTGATGGTGGTGGTGGTGGGGGTGGTGATGGTGGTGGTGGTGGGGGTGGTGATGGTGGTGGTGGTGGGGGTGGTGGGGGTGGTGATGGTGGTGATGGTGGTGGTGGTGGGGGTGGTGATGGTGGTGGTGGTGGTGGTGGTGATGGTGGTGGTGGTGGTGGTGGTGGTGATGGTGGTGGGGGTGGGGGTGGTGGTGGTGGGGGTGGTGATGGTGGTGATGGTGGTGGTGGTGGGGGTGGTGATAACAATAGTAACAATTGATAAATGAATAGATAAATAAATGAATAATCAAATTATAATGATTGCTTTTGTAACAAAATTGATGCATTTTTCTTATCCCTAGGAGCTCAAACCATTACTCAAAGAAAAGCAAGTTAATGTACTATCAAGTTGTATGTTTAGCCAATGTCTTTTTAACTTGTGAACCAGTAACAAGTTTTCTAGCCTTGTACAACAGAGTTATTAGATTCTGTTAATTTGCGTTATTACGCTCAATTGGCGATATTTAATTCCCGCCCAATGCAAGTGATATTCTTGAATGAATTAAAAGATAGTCCAATAATTTTACAAATGTATTTCATGCGATGGGTGTTTATTGTGTACGTAAACTCAGTGGCAGGCATTTGTCTTTGTCTGTGCCCTAAGGAACAATTTCTTATTCTTTCTTAGCACTTGTTGGGTGATACCAGATAACATAAGCTTTTTTTCTTTTCTCTCTCTTCACAGAACTGAAGAAATCGCGTCTCTCATTTCAGAGGTTCAGAACATCTCAATAGCAGTTGGACCCTGAGCTGCAGTTACCAAGCAATCAACTGGCTATGATTTGAAATGAGATGTAGAAGTCACAAAATCATAATCATAAAGGAATAAATAATAATAATAATAATAATGAAAAATCGTGCCTTCTTAATTCATGCTGATATCCGTCACACTGTGACGCTCATGGCGCTTAGACATTATGACCCAGGTTATAGCCTAACTGCCAAAGTAGCTAGTGCTGGATCATAACGGTTACTCGCAGTGACAAATATACATTGATGTATTGCCAGGGACATCAGGGATCGGCTGGGATTTGAACCCTGTACCTTGTGATCTACAGTCTAGTGACTTATCCACTAGACCACAACACCTCTACGAGAAATGTCATCCCTCTCACTCCTATAGTATGTGCACCGATACAAAGGAAAGGACTAGAAATGAAATTAATATGGCAGACTAACTGCAGTACATGTGATATGGGAAATTGTTCACAGTGTGTAAGATTTTGTGCGTTTCATGTTAACTTCCAAGTGCCTGAATTAAAACCACACAATAATTAAAACCAAGCAACAATGATCACCACGAGCAAGATCAGAGTATTAAAACATTCAAATTTTTATGCTATATTTGGCACAAAAGCAAAAAAAAATGGCATGAAAACATTTACAGGGCTCCACTTTGCAGGAAAGGGCATATTGAGGGGCAGAAAGTAGAAAGAATTAATGGTATGTGATGACGAGAATTGCATCTGCTCAGAGCAAGAAGGGCATTCACTCTGTGTACAAAGATGTGAGGTAATGCCCTCCTGGCTACAAACAGACAATTGTAGCTTTGTTAAAAAGAATTCCATGTAAAGTTCACAAATTTATTTTTTCATTTGTTGATGCATTATGTGTGCCTAATTTGGACAATTTGCTGCAACCTGGCAAAATTTACATTCATGGTTACTCATTTGAAGAAAAGAAGTATTGGTTAACTCTTCAATGGCTATGTATCAAAACCCTAGATTGCCAAATTTGTGTGGAATATATGATACATCATATACATGATGTGACAATAGTTGGCTGTGGCAGTCCTCTTTTAGTTCAACTAGTTGACCAATATAAGTAAAGAATTCTCATTAAAAGGGATCACAGAGTAAATGAAGATGTAGGTTTCATTTCATTATTTTTGAATTATATTCATACTGGATATGCTCCATAGGACAGAAATATTCTATAAAATTTGAGAGTCTGTGGGGTGCCTTGAGGAATTGCGGCTTTGCAATTATGTTATTAAAAATAAAGAATATTTTTGCTGGAAAAAAAGCTGTTAACTAACCACAAAAGTTTCTGTTTTTACAGTTTTCAATTATAAAGAAATGAGAAGAAAAAATCTTTGGAGTTTTAAACCTAGATATGAAAATGCAACACTTGTGCACAATATGGTGATTATACTTTGAATGAACCTCTATGAATTGTTGGGTCAAACACTTTCAAGGAAATTGATTAAAGTCATTGTTGATTTTCTCCACGTTCTGTATTGGTAATCTAGGGCCCCGTTTCATAAAACTTATAATTAGTAACAATTTACAATAACTGTTATAAGCTACTAAAATGATTCAATTTGATTTGCAGAGAGACATTTTATCAAACAGTTTTAACTTTTGTTACTGATAACAAGTTTTTTTGTTAACAGGGCCAAGAACTGGTATACTGCTATAATCGATTAATCTAAATAATGATCAATGACAGGGGTATCTTTTCTTTATTTTCTTATCTTTTCTATTTTTTCATTACAAGATAAACAAAAATTGTTAAAAAAAAGGAAATTCTGACCAAATTTATGTAAATGCTTGCTCTTCTACTAGGTGTAACAAAGTATGCTTTATTATTAGTGACTATATCTGCTTCCTTTATGTTTTGCCATACACAGAAATCCATTTATAACTAAGTTTATTTGAATGTAGGCCTACCAATCACTTGATATGTCATAAGCTTTGATATGCTATGACAATGTGTTAAAAGTGATATTTCTTTATGATGATTTCTCTGTTTTCCCCATGCAATAGGGTAGAGTTGTCTTAAAGATGCAACTTGGCGATCACTGAGCCAACAGGTATTACGCTCCCGAGCGAATGTCCGTGTGCTGCCCTCTATATACCCATGCTTGAGCAACTTTAAGTTATCGGGTTTGACCAGTCATGTATAGGTAGATTCAGGATCAATACTAATGTTCATTAATACAGTTGGTGAAGAGATAATTATGTAGAGATTACCTGTCAAATGTCACTATTGTAGTACATTTACATTAAAAATTTACATGTTTAATGCTAAACAAGCATATATAGGACTTAATTTGAATTCATAAATACATGGAGAAGGATCGAGTCTGCATTTCATGTTTGTGTGTATATGTATATATATATAAGCATACCTTATTGTGTTTTGTAAATAAAGTGGATATACTGTATATTTCAAATACAGTTTTAAATGTGTTTAGTTTTTTGTTGTTGCTATTTTACCTTCATGTATATGATTAACAGATAATATCATAAAGCTAATTACTATAAAACATGTATGTACATGAATCAATGTCTCAGGTCCCAGTAAGCTTTTTCTCTCTCCTCTTTCTCTCTCCCCTTTCGATATCCCCTATTCTCTCTCTCTATCCCGTCTCCTCTCTTTTATTTCTTCTTTCTCTATACTCCCTCCTCTATCTTCTCTCTCCTCTGCTCTTTCTCTATCCCCTCTTCTCATTCTCTATCCCCTCTTCTCTCTCATCTTTCTCCCTTCTCGATATCAACCCTCATTATCTACTCTTTCACTCCACCCCCCCCCCCCCATCCCCCCATCTCTCTTTCTCTCCTCTCTGTCATGGCATTTTCTCATTCTAGGTTCAGTCCTAGGCTCTTGTCTCGATCACCCACACGCTCTTCTAAAACATCACCAACTGTCGCCCAATTCCAAAAATAGCGTATCATACAAGGCCATGGAACTCCCATCATTAAACCCATCTTTTAACAACTCCAGTAAATCCAACACATAAGTCATAGATTTCCCTCCTAATAATTCAAATAATAACACACCTTGACTTTATCTATCTGCATTTAATGGCTTTATTTTTCATAGGAAAACAGATATGTAGACAATTTGAGTGATCATCACATATGAATATACACCATGAATATTCACCTGTCCGGGTAAGATCTTCATTGCCACCATATACACACATTAATTTATTAAGCATCTTCTGTAGAGATTTTCCTCCGCAAATGGGCGACGCTGATCGTTTCACTTCAATACTTTAGCAAGACTGTTCTTCAACAAAACAAAGTGCATCTCAAATATACCAGAGTACAGATAGTGTACAAGACACAGATAACGGACAGAGACATCTTTGAATGTCATTTGTACGATACCAGAAGCTACTGCCAAAAAATGTTTTTACATGCATTACACTTTCTTGTGTTGTTGAATTCACCATCTTACAATGAATCATGGAATTCATGAGAACAACAGTTTATTACACGTTCTTGTAATTGCAACAAAAAGAAAGCAAATATATTAGGAATTACATTCGATTTAAGTGCTTCTTTTTTTTATACTTCAAAATGCCAGTCAAGTCATGTTCTGCAAAATAAAATTGACACAAAGAATGCATCGATTTCCCAATTTCGGTCTTTTTGTTGTCTTCATTTGCTACACTTCAAATAATAGAAAGCACTTTATAAGCACCGTTTTATTATTGTTATTATCAATAGATGATCATTGTGTATCAGGCTACCAAAATGGGCACCTCCCTCGCATGTGGGTAAAAAAAAAAATGTGTAACTAAAGGTTATCATTGAGCTTTTATCCTATTCTAATTCTGTCTTGAATTCTGGCAAATGAGGTTCCAGCAGGACGTCTAAAGCACAGTAATGCAGTAAAGTAGAACCTTGTTATAACAAGGTCCTTTGGACCAAGGAAATTACCTTGTTGTATCAGGAATCTTGTTATATCAGGGTAAAAAACTTAAAAGAATACAAAGAGCTGGGACCAGCAAAATCACCTTGTTAGAACATACACCTTATTTTATGAGAGCTCTTTATACTGAGGTTCCACTAAAATACAAAGTAGGCATAGTTCCGAGGAATGGATGTAACTAAACATACATGCCATCGTGTCCTACAAAACAAGAAACATTCACAATATAAAATTATGGTTGTTTATACCGTAAATAACACGTTGCAAGTAGTTTACGACTCCAAAACTAACCTTTGAAACAGCCTATCACCAGTTATGGTTTACCTTTCCACTATAACAACTTAGAACTATGTGAATATGCACAATCATTTTCTGAAATCTTGGAATATTATAGTGCACTTATTACAGTTAATAAAAAATGTTCTCCCCTTTTCTTTCAGTCCATTAAAAGGCATCTAACACTTACAGCATAGGTTAGGTTGATTACGTTTTCCTTTGAGAAAAAAAAGAGCATGAAAGAAGTAGAAATTTATAGTTCAATACAGAGCGCATTTCAAACACGGTGAACACACATGTAGTTAGCAAGACACTGGTTTATCCACTTCACGATATAAAATAAATATCCATTCTCCAATGCAACATCTATCAACTTAATAACTATTAATTTTCTATATTATTATTATATTCAATCACTTAATGGAGGTTATACAAAAACATAAACAGTTACAAGTGCTTGACAACCACTCATGTCTATTTCTCTCTATCACATAGGACTTTAGCTTTCCAATCCCAAAGCTTGCGGCGCTCAATTATTTCTCGCTAATTTTTTTTTGCTGGGAAGGGTACCCGTTAGTACTTCCAGTGTAATTACCCATGCATGCTTTTGATATTGATTACCAATGACATTATTTGATAGACACATTCTTCCTAGCAAAAAGTCACTTTCTAAAGTCTTTCAAATGCTGCATGGACCTTCTGCGCAACTGGTCATAAGGATGGTCCATGTTTAAACCCAGATTTTTAAAAAAAATAATGAAAATTAGATGGCAAAACTCAACAAAGAAATTACACATGAAAGCAATACAAATGATGCCTATAGACCGGACGCTGGTGACCACACACCTTTGTCCCCAATCTCTACATCATGAACTGACATTGGGTCTGATCATACATTAGCAATAGAGAGAATCGTCTGTCTTTGAATAACAACAATAACATGTGAACCCGAAAAAGGCTTATTTGTGTCAACGTTGCTCCACATCTTGGAAAGTCTCTTATCGAGAGTTCAGCGACACAAAGACGTAACTCCATATTTTGACAAAATGAGTACTTGATATCAAAATGTGGGCTTTCCAGGAAACACAAAGACTTAACTCCACCTAACACCCCATTGAAGTCAAAGGCTAGTGAAACATATACTCGTTTAGGCCCAAGTGCTCAGTGACACATAAATCACTTTTTCTCAAAATGGCCAAAATGGAGTTACGTCTTTGTGTCACTGACCCCTCGTTATGTATATAAAAACAACATCATTCAGCACAGTGCCTCACTGGTCATCTCTATATCAAAGTCGTCTTTGGTGGTAATTTTTTAGACTTCTGATTCGATGTTGGTCAGGACTTTAGTGATGATGCCCGTGCCGAGTGTGATGCGTCCGTCTCGTAACGTGAAGCGCTGACCGACCTCCGACACCATCGGCCTCTTGAGAGCAATCTCCAGGGAAGTATCCTCACCTGGGGGAGGGGGAAGGGGAGGGGGGGGATAAAATGATTGAGTAGTGATGAATGAGTTTTTTTGAGAGTAGAGTTGGGGGAAATGAAGAGAGATTGAGAGAGGTAGAGAGAGACAGACAGGCAGAGAAAGATAGAGAGAAACAAAAGATGAGGCACATATATGAGAGGACACTGTAACAGAAAGTCAACTTCAAAATTGGACTTTCATTACCAATTGAAGCAAACTGCTAAAATCAACAACAAATTAACCCATAATATTAAAGATAAAGAAGAGTTCTGGTAATGCGATTGTGTGGAATGGATCAGAAAAAGTTGATCATGTAGCATGTAAGTATTGGTGTGTACTGCAAGGTTCTGAAATCATCAAAATCATAATAAATTTGGCCCAGTCTTGGTAAAGTAACAAGCACTGTACACAGGAAGATGTATATGGGACTACACAAATGGTGTCGGGCTACTAACCTTGAGATCCTTATCTTTCTATGCTCATTACTCAGCCAGTATACATTTTCTACCAAAATTGTTTGGCAAATGACATTTATTTGTAAGCTTGAACATTCAGTGTAAGTTTCGTTTGATTTTGTGAGAATTCATTTTCATTTTTTTTTACCAGAACTCAAGTTTATCTTTGACCCATAATGACAATGCAGAAGGTAACTCACCAGGCATGACCATCTCCTTGCCTTCAGGCAGTGTTATCCTAGCTGCAGCATCCCATGTGTATGAGTACATAATAGGTGTGAAGTTACTCGTGAATGGCTTATGTCTACCTCCTTCATCTTTGCTGAGAATGTATACCTGAACAAACAAACATACAAACAAAAAAATAAAAATGAATATGTCTGTGCCACTTAAAATGTATACCTGATAAAAGAAAATACCTAATTATATCCGCATTAGTAATAATGTACACCTAAAACTTACTAATTTGCCAATCTTCACCTGAACAATCAAACACGCTCCCCAGGGAGTGGAGATTGTGCACACAGTGTGTGCGGGCAAGTATTGAATCCAATGACCCGGGTAATACCTGTAAAGTGCTTAGAGACATTTGTATGAAATGCTATATAAAAGCGGAATATTATTATTATCATTAAGCCTACCTAATCACAATCACACTGTTTATCATAACCAAACTCATCTTCATGGTTGCAAATTTATCCTAGATTTGATACTCACTTAAAGGAATTTGATCAGCAATAAATACATGGGGAGTTCTGACAAATCATATTTGTTTGCAAATGCATTTCATCAAAGAAGAGATTTTTAAATGCCTTCCAAAATAAACAAGTATCACATTAAAAATATGGAGCATTTAAAGTGTATGCGTTTAGATTTTCAATGTGAACATATTTTCAAAATACATGAATTGTGGAGCACTTGGAGTGTAAAATCTGACACACATGAGCATAATACAAGAAGTCACTATTATCATTATTTTAGTGTACAAACCTGGCAATCAAAGTGTGAATGTAAATCTATGACCGGAACATTCAAAATGTATACGCACATTTTCATAAAGCAAAATGCATGAATTTTTAAAATATAGCTCTGGCTTTGAAAAAACGACATGTGTGAGTGATATAATGTATACAATAAAATGTAAACATGTATGGCTTTCAAAATAGATACAGCCAAACCTGCTTTAGTGACCTGTGACCACCTGTCTACAAAGACCACCTGTCTTCAAGGACCACATTTTTTGTTCCCCTTGAAAATGGTTTCTCGTTGAAATATGTACTAAAGGAAACTGTGTACAAAGACCACTTTTTGTGTTTTCCTTGGGCGGGCGCTATAGACAGGTATGACTGTACAACCAAAATCCATGAGTAAACTTGTATGAGAGTGCCAACACACCTGCGCAATGAAGTTATTATGAGGTGATAGAACTCCTGGTTTGCACATGACCATACCCCTCCTGATCTCGTCTCGTTTGACGTTCCTGACTAGCGCCCCCATCTGGTCTCCGGCCTCGCCCTGGTCTAGCGTCTTGTGGAACATCTCCAGACCTACAAACGTGAAAGTGTGTCACAAATAAGACGTTGAATTTTACTGTGCCACCTGGCAGTGTTAGTTGAGGACCCTGCGAACCATTTGGGTGTCTCAATGATGGAGTTAATTAATTAAAGAATCTGACAAAGTGAAATGGTGCATCATTTAGAGAGTATCACATTCTTTTAGTTTTACTAACAACAACAATAATACAGAGCATTTATAATGAGCCAACTCCACATATCTAATGTGCTCTAGTTGCAGCAGAAAAGTTGGAATATGAAAAATACACCAAAATGAGACCAGCTAGAAAATAAAAGTAGGAAAATGAAAATACACAAAAATGGGACAAGCTAGAACATAAAAGTACAGTAGGAATATGAAAATACACCAAAATGAGGTGAACTAGAAAATAAAAGTAGGAATATGAAAATACACAAAAAATGAGGCAAGCTAGAAAATAAAAGTACAGTAGGAATATGAAAATACACAAAAATGAGATGAGCTAGAAAATAAAAGTAGGAATATGAAAATACACAAAAAATGAGGCAAGCTAGAAAATAAAATTAGGTATATACACCAAACTGAGACAAGCTAGAAGTTACATACAAGTAGATCTACTGGAAAGCAATTTTGAACAGATGAGATTTTATTGTTGTTTCAAACTAGGACACTATGTGGAAGCAGTTGACAATCTATACAGACAATGACAATGATTTTTTTATTTCTTTAACGGCCCCTTCTGCGGATTGACCTTTGACCCAACATGGAAGCTGCCGTTGATAAAACATTCAGGAACAGGTACCTTCTTTGTGTAGTTTATTTCCATCTAAGATATTTCATGCCTAATTTAACAATGAAACAAAGCATTAGGAATCATAATCTTACTCTTGAATGTTAATTTATGGCATTTTTCGAAAGATATAGTAGCACAGAAATGGTTGAATTGTATGTGCAGGGCACAATGTAACTGGACAGATCACAGATTACATGACATTGAAGGAATTTGACAAAATATTTCTAGTATATACTAAAGTGGCACTGATGTAATTACCTGTTACGACCGATTTGATTCTTGCACTGTGTCCGACGAATTCTACTTCATCACTCTTCTTGATTACGCCCCTCTCCACACGACCAGATACAACAGTACCACGCCCTGTGACATGAGACAAAGTGATGATTTTAAATAGGTCAGCAATTAGGTCATTTTCGAAATTATCCATTATGTACATTAATAAAGCAAAAAAAAAAAAATAGGAATTTGGAATTCACAATTGACTATCAATCCCAAAAAATAATCATCATCATACATCAGCATCATTAACACAACCATCATCATCATCACTATCATCATCACCATAACCCCATCATCATCATCACCATCACCATCATCATAAAATCATCATCATCATCATCATCATCATTACCATCATCATCATCTTATCATCATCATTACCATCATCATCATCTTATCATCAGCATCAACATCATCACCATTATCCCACCATCTTATCATCATCATCGCCATCATCATCATCATCGACATCATCGACATCATCATCATCATCATCACCATCATGATCCTCACCTGGAATTGAATAGACAGCTTCAACTGGCATCATGAACGGTTTCTCCAGCTCTCTGAGTGGTAGAGGTATCCAGCTATCCACGGCTTCCATCAGCTTCTTAATGGATTCTTTCCCAATTTCTGGGTTCTTGTCCTAATGCAACCAAAAATCATTGAAGAAAGTCCATTTGGTTAGAAATTAAGATTCCATTGTCACACAGACAAAGGGTGACAACTACTTAAACTTAAGTGAACCTGTAACTGATAGCTTTAAATATACGATGCTTTAAAGCTTTAAATATACGATGCTTAACATAAGCATGCAGAAAAGAAGATCACGAATTTAACAAAATTTAATTAAATGCTTCATAGTTAATTTAAATATTTCTTGCAAATTCAAGAGAAAAAACTAGGAGATTTGAATGATTCTAGAGGATTCAAAAAAGTCATTAGAGCTAATTTTGTGACAAAGATAAGAGTCTATGAAACACATGTATTGAAAAGGAAATTTCCTTGACTAAAGTCTATTAACTTAATTTTGTTCAGAAAAAGTATCTCCCTACAATAATAGCCAAAACAATAGAAACCCTTTCATGGATTTTCCTTACCTCAAGCACGTTGAGAGCCGAGCCGATGATCATGGGCGTTTCCTCTCCATCGTATCCAAACTCACTCAAGACATCCCTCATCTCAAGCTCAACAAGCTCCAGCATCTCCTCATCCACCACATCGGCCTTGTTGATATACACTACAATCTTATCTACACCAATCTATACAGATGGAAATGAGATAAAATAGAATAGCTGTCACTACACAAATATTACCTACCTAAAGATAAAGTTGAGTTCTTGTCATGCGATTGCATTGTGAAAGAAACGTTGTGAAATTGATCAGAAAAGGTTGATCATCTAGCATATATAAGTATTGGTGTGTACTGCAAGGTTCTGGAATCACCAAAGTGATAAGAATCTACGCCCATTCTTGGAAAAGTTACAAGCACTGCACACAGAAAGATGTATATGGGACTACACTGTAAAAAGACAGCCAAATTGGTTTTGACAATGCAGCATGCAGGCACTGCACATATACCTACACAGTACCAATACATCATACATTAGAAAATGGATGTATGCATGTGTACTCCTGTAGCCTGATACAGAAACCCCACTTTAGGAAAACCTGCCGTGACACAAAAATATGGCACCTAATCAAATTCTTTCTTATCTTCTTTTCCTTGTGCGCCTTGGAATGAAAGCTCTAGATACATGGCACAATACAAGTACCCATTTTCATTATTATTAACCCCTAAAAGTAGTGGCAATATTTCTGCATGATTTTACATCTAAATTCATGATCAGCAAGTGATTCGCGAAATTCGTGAAAGATTGACAGCTTATACATTACTGTACCTGTTTGGCCAGGAGGAGATGTTCTCTCGTCTGAGGCATCTGACCGTCTGTTGCCGCGACAACCAATATAGCGCCCTCCATCTGAGCTGCTCCTGTGATCATATTCTGTAGGAAACATGATGTCACAAATATTTATATGAGATTTTCTTATTTCTAGAAGAGGCTTATTTCAAATTGATGGCATGATTTCTATATTTATATCCCCAATACATTATATACCTCCACCTCATTTAAGTACATCATCAAGTAATTGGGTTAATAATTACAATCCAGTTCTAGAGCGAATATTGATGCCTATTAACTGTGATATCATTTTCCGTGAGCAGCTCTAGGAATAAATGCTCTATTCATTCAGGCAATATATTCAGACCTATCAGAAACCTATTTACCTCACTTAACTTACCTTACCTTGAGAGATAGACAGAGCGAAAGACAGACAGAGAGGTAAAGACAATGTTTACTATACAATGGGAGAATGACAACGTTGAGTGAAAGTCAAGAGAACTAACCACTTTTCTATCATCTGTTTAACCTTTCTCTCTTATTGAATCTCATTGAATATTTCTCTCTCTCTCTCTCTCTCCTCCCATTTTCATTGTGTCATTTTTAGACAGGGCAATAAACGGCTGCTGCACGTACCTTGATGTAATCTGCGTGACCTGGGCAATCTGTGTGAGCATAATGCCTGCTACCTGTCTCGTATTCTATGTGTGCTGCATTGATTGTGATACCTCTCTTCTTCTCCTCGGGTGCTTTGTCAATCTCATCGTACTTGTAGAATTCAGAGTTGCCCTCCTCCGCAAGAACTATTCAAAATGTGGAAGAAAGGGATCAGAGGTACAGTCAAACATTTTGAAATGAGCCTGCAGGTGCACGGATAGTGCATACAGGTTAATCTACCCCAAAGGTCCTTTTTAACACAAACAGTTAATTTGCAAGTAGGCATTATCTGGAAGTGTGTTTGACAAAGAAATATTTGCTTTTCTTTTAAAAATGCATTTAAAAGATGCAAAGAGACAAAGGCACATATCTAGAGACTCCATCTTTACGAGAACAAATACGATTTGACACTGTGTTACTGTCCTTGATTATCTTATCCTGTGATTTGTATCACTTCGGATTGTTTTGTTTTTTCCTTCCCAAACAACTAAATGTATCTCTAGATACAAGAAAAATCTATAATTTTAAGTCCATTCCAAAGAGGAAAATAAAACTATGTCAGCACAAAAGCTTGCTTTCTCAATGTCTATGAAGTCAATATCCAATCATAGCCAAATGAGGAACTGCAGAATACATTGAACGTTCTGCTCAATTTCCAACAATCTTTCAAATTAAAACTCATTAGAAATGATTATCCCAAAGAAATGATTATGGCAAATAAAGCCATATTTTATGGTGGAAACTTTGCATCAAACTCATCTTTGTGTGCGTGAAAATGAATGTTCAAAGAAATGATTAACAGCCACTGAAAAAAAAACATTAGACCAAGCAATGTTATTGACAATGTTGTACATCTATCTGTGATAAGAAGGAAATAAAATACCAGAAAAACAAAGTCCAAATGCTGTACTATCTTATTCAATCAAGGAAACACACACAAAAATTGTCTGTAAGTTTGTAAGCATGATCGAACACTCCTATTCACTTTATCTAAAAAATTTGTACTTGAGCTGTATATAGAAGCAATAAATCATATCAAATCAAACCGATACTTACCTTTTGTGATAGCTGCTGTGAGGGTTGTCTTGCCATGATCGACATGACCAATAGTTCCAATGTTCACATGAGGCTTTCCTCTCTCAAAGGACCGCTTGGCTTCAGCAGCCAGCAGGGGAGCAAATGTCTGCATCAAGCGAGCATTGCACTGCAAAGCGTGACATTGCTGTGTGGAAAAATAAGGAGAAAGGGCTGTTAAAAGGGAATATCAAATAAATTATAAGTTCTAGTCTTTGTCTCAGAAACAAAGGATGGAATTTGGATGGATCTCCAAACAGGGGGTGGGCTTCCAAAAATTCAAAAGACATTAAACAGACCTGTCTTACTCTCTTATTCCTCTTAATCTAATGTGCAGTTCAGTCTGAATCTTCCCTAATAGTCATACCATGCATAAACTTTGCTAGCTAGTGTCTGACATTGTTGATTTTAAGTCAAATTTATTTTCTGTAGCACATGATCTACAATATTTGTTCTTACCTTCAACGAAGCCGACTTGAAGGCTTGAGCAAGTAAACTGCGCATATCTGAAAGAGAAGGGAAGTAAAGTAAAGAAATAAAATTTATGAAAATAAATGCTACCATGGTTTGGTTTTATGCTGTTTTCTAACCAAAATGTTTGCCATTTATATCAACTTACACACAAATTCCCAATGTTATCATAGTTATCACTTAATCATATATCATTTTCTTTATCATGAAGGCATTTTAGGAGATTCATGGTTTGTTTGGCATGTTATATATCGAAGTCTATAAGGAGCAAAAAACAAAACAAACATTCAGTGGCATTTACACACACAAAATAAGTTTCTTCTCACCCTCCTCTTTTAGCCTCCGTTCTTTTAAGTTCTTTTTTTCTCTTCTGATTTTGCTTGGTGACTCTTTCTTTCTTACTTTCCTGGCAATATCGTGAAATAGGCCCCGCAACTTACCCGTCTTGTAATCGATTACAAATCATCTTAGACTTCTAACTTCAGTCTTCAGCCAACATTTTCATGACGGACAGCAATAAAAGGGATATAAAAGTGAGTTTAAAAGGGGGTTGAAAGGGACTTATTTTTTAAATAAAAATTAGGAGGCACGTAGGTACGGGGGGGGGGGGGGGGGGGAGGGGGGGAGGGGGGGGGGGGGGAGGGGGGGGGAGGGGGGGGGGAGGGGGGGAGGGGGGGGGGGGGAGGGGGGGGGAGGGGCCCCAAAAAAATTTAAAAAGGAAAAATATTTAACTAAAAGATAAATTTAAAGAGAGGGGGGGGGGGGGGGGTGGGCCCCCCCCAAAAAAAAAAATTAAACTAAAAGATAAATTTAAAGAGAGTGGGCCAAAATATTTAAAAAGGAAAAATATTTTTAAAAAGGAAAAATATTAAAAAGGAAAAATATTTAAAAAAAGGAAAAATATTAAAAAAGGAAAATATTAAAAAAGGAAAAATATTAAAAAAGTAAAAATATTAAAACAGGGTCTAAAAGATAAATTCAATCATTTAAATGTAACCCTTTTTAATAATTTGCCAGCTTTATTCATTAAACCTCAAAACACCCCCTAAATTATACTTCGGTGAAAGAAGCCCCGCTATCGTGCTGTCCGTCTTGAAGATGCATAGGATGGGGCCTTGTTCACGAGTATAAAGTATAGTCGTGATACAGGCCCCATGTCTGTGTTGTAGAACATGCAACGCCGTTGCGCGGGCCTATATCACGAGTATATATAGCGAGTTGAATAGGAGACTCGTATAGTATACTCGTGATACAGGCCCCGCGGCTGTGTTGAAGTGCGCGCGATGCCGTAGCGCGGGGCCTCGATAACGAGTATATTATAAGTATAGTCGTGATACAGGCCCCGCTGCTGTGTTGAAGTGCGCGCGATGCCGTTGCGCAGGGCCTCGATCACGAGTATATATAGTGAGTTGGCTGAAGTTAGAAGTCTAGTATAAAATTATAATCGATTCAAAACAGTTGCGGGGCCTATATCACGAGTATGCCACTTTCCTTCCTTTTTTGTACTGCTTTTCATTCTTCATTCTTCTTTAAAAATTTGGTCTACATCAGCAGAACATCCTGTTTATCATTTTCACCTTGTTCACTCCTCTTTTGCTCATTTTCTCATTCTCTTCATCCTCCATAATAATAATATAGGTCTATGCAGTAAGTTATGTTACATTAACTGTAAGGCCGCAGGCTACGGTGCGTTGGCAGATGTAGCAGCATGCTGCATTAACCGTGCCCGGCTGCGTTATTTTTTTATGCGGCACAGATTGGGGCATGGCGCGTGTTAAACCTATGGGAAGAACGTTCTTTCCCTTCTAAATAGTGTCTGCACGTACGTGAGACTAGTCATGTTCGCTAGCCCATTAGCGCTGCGAAGAAGTTTGTATATCCATCGCGAACTATGTGTTTAGATAACATTCCTCTTCGTTTAAGTTAGTTAAGTTTTATTGACTAATTATTGTGATGTTCTCCTTATTGACGTGCTGCCTCCTCTTCAGATTTCCAATTTGACTTTAATTGTCGATGTAATGATTTTCCATGCGGTAGTGGATTACATACATGTAACACTATTAAACACAGACCTCTACTACTTATACTGTCTAGTACGCACACGACCAGTATTAGTCTGTAAATCAAGACCCCTTTTTAAAAAAAGCCCCAATCTGTGCCGCATAAAAAAATAACGCTGCCCGGCTATTGAAGTAGTAAGACTAGTAAGAGTAAGACTCAACGAGCCCCTGTCCTGAAGCTGATGTATGATGACGCCGGAGCGCAGCGAGTGGCCAGTGCAGCGCAAGCGGCGCCGAGAAACTGCAAGATCGCGATCAATGTCGGATGCACCTCAGCACAAGTTGTCGATGCGAAAAGGAACTTGCTCTACTCCGCCCCCTAACAAAATAATATCACCTAAGAGATAACAATTAACTCACTTTCACGCATTTTAAACACAGAGAAACTCAAAATCGTAAGGGAGTGAATATATAAACAGACATTCAGTAACTTACTTGGTTTCTTGCCGCACGTTTTTAGTGTGAACAGCGCTGCCATGTTTTTACGTAAATTGGATTTTTAATTCAAGCTCGTACATATTGCATGATATAATGAGGTTTTGTACAGATTTTTTTTATTTTTTAATGTTAACATTTTTTCAAATTCAATATATGGGCTTAAATATTATTTTTATTATTTTAAGATCTGTTTTAAGCTCTATTTATAGAAATGTTGATAGTTATTCCCCAAAAAATTATTCATCAAATTGGCAGCTTTAGTTAAAGGGATTTTATAATTTTACCAGCCATGGTACACGGGCACTGAACTGGAATATAGACCCCTATTCCAGTTCCCTTTCGAATCTGGCGTTTTTAGTGTATTTCTGACAAAAAGCAGTCCAATGTCAGCATCTTAACCACTTTTTTGGTTTAACTATCCAATCTTTTGCTAAGACTTTTATACACTCTTCAGCTTGTTTGTTTATTTTGTTTGTTTTGGTCTTGACAATGAAAGGTTAACAAAGGACAACAAATATATTTTCCACTTCCGATATTGAATTCATATGCCAATCCAGGTATTTCTTCTTCTCTCTCTCTTAATTATTTATTTATTTATTTTATTGGGTCTTTTTAAAAGCTAGTAGTGAAGTTTTTTTTTTTTTTTTTTTTGGGGGGGGGGGGGAGCATGCATCGATCGTCATGCAGGCACTTTTATGAAAGAGGGGGGGGGGGGGGACTTTAAAGGATATATAATAAACAGAAGAAATTTACAAGTTTGAAACCGTTAATAAAGTTGTTAGGGCTAGCTGGTATCTAATTTTATATATTCATAATTTACCTCTTGACTGCTTTACTGCTTCTATATCAGACTTTACAATTTTGCCCATGATGGTCTGAATATTTGTGTGAGCCAGCGAAGAAAACGAGTGAAAATTAAAGATTTATGAGGTTATACATTATGACTGATGTATAATTACGTAAACATGTATAAATTACGTCGTTTATTCATTACAGACAAACTTTTGTTTCTACCCAAATTGTGCTATAATTTCCCTAAGCCAAGTATTCTAAAAGTACGTTTGATCAAAATATTACTCTCTTCCGGTAATTGTAGAAAATATTTCCATTTAATTTATCATAACGAATCTTTATACGGTACAGCTCTCGGTTCATTTTAAACCCCTTTTTGTGCTTATTTTCTTTAAACAGAATTTTCTCATCACCATTAATGAAATTTCCACAAAATAAAAGATGCGAATTGTAACTTTTTTCTCATGGCTTTAAACTCTCAGTTGTTCTTCTCCCTCATATACTTCCAAACCTTTTAATAGGTTATACAAGTTCTATTTTTCCCTCAAGATTTTCTCATTGTTAGGTTTCAGTATATCATACGAAAGATATACGATTTTACAGCTGGATGTGTTAACTTTGAGTTTAGACTTTAGAGTAGTGTTGTTTTTGTATAATATATTATTATATTATTAGTTTTATATTTGAATGTACTCTCGTGAGTTTTATGTAAAAATTGTTTCAACATTGCTATGTATTCTATGTGCTTTTATTGTAAAATGCATGTAATTCAGCTCTAGGGTTGCTTTTTTCTGTATTTCTAATAAGACATGCAATAATGAGTAAATATTATCCGATAAAATTACCAAATTTCACCGGGGTTTAAGCTCATAATCCCAAAAGAAAAAATAAGAGCTAAATTTGAGGTTACATCAAAATAAAAATGTTGATGGGAGTAAGGGCATAACTAGCAAGCTTAAGGAAATTCTAAAAGATGTTGGCATTGCTCCTCAGTTGCCTGGAAATTCAAAATCAGATTTGTAAGTGGAACTCATTTGAAAAGGAACAAAAATATGATTGGAAAAGGGAACAGTTACAAAAGGGGGAAAGGGCACTCATTAGGAAAATGGGAGGGACAAAATTAATTTTAAAAAAAGTAAAAACGGGGATAATTCAGATTAGAAAGTATGTACTCATTAGATAAAAGGGAAACCGAACGGGCGGACTTATCAGAACTTAAATGAAATCACAGGTAAACTTGATGGGCCTGAACTCCGATTAGAAAGGAAAATTAAGGCCTGGGATCCTATTTAGAAATATAAAAAGGGCATTTATCAGAGAAGACAAGGAGCGCTACCGGTGAGTGGCAAGGGCCTTTTGGTCCCAATTACCCCGATCCACAACTTGTTTATGGCGGCGGGAAAATTGCAACTAAATATCTCCCTTCTTTTCTTTTCTTCTTCCTCTTTTTCCCCCTCCCCTTTAACTCCTCTTTTCCCTTTTTCTTCCCCTTTCCTCCTTTCTCTCTTATTTTGTTGATGGGGGGAGGGGGGGGGGGCCTTTCGGCTCCCCCGACCTCCTTCTTCCCCCTTTTTCTTTTCTTCTTCTTCTTCTTTCTTTCCCTCTTCCTCTCATCTTTCCCTTAATCCCCCCTTCCCTCTCTCTCTCTCTCTCTCTCTCTCTCTCTCTCTCTCTCTTTTTGCGCCGGGGGGGGGGGGGGGGGAGACCCGCTCGCCCCCCCCCATGGATCCGTGCCTGCCTACAACAGAATTAATCAGAAGGGAAAATATGCACTGCTTTAGAAACTGTAGAATGAGGCCTCATTAAGAGGAAAAGGGGTGGGATGCACTCATGAGAAAGGGGCACTAATCAGAAGGGGGGAAATGGGGTCTTATTAGCAAGGAAAATAAGAAACTTCTATACTTATCATAAGTAAAATATTATCTTTTAGCCTTGAAAAAAAAAGTGTGTAGGAGCAATATGTACCCCAGTGCTCTACTCCCCCCCCCCCCCCCGATCACCCTTTTCTCGAAATCTCCGACTAGACTAGGTACAAACTAGTCGACCACCGGACACACGAGGGCGCTTTACGGATACAAAAAATTACCTCTGCTCTGGAAATTTCTTCGTTTGCAATCAAGCTGCATCATCATCACACTAAATTTGATATCCGAGCCCGAGACTGAATGTGTGGACATTTTTGAAATTGATACAAATACAAGATCAACAACCGTCTCCGTGCGACCAGACTGTGATACTATTGGTAAGCTAAGATCACTCTCATAAAGACTTTTGAGCATGTTGGTTCCCCCAGTTATCTATAGTGTGGTCCCATATACCAAAATGTATGTAGGCTATTTCTTAAGACTCTTGATAGATGATCGACATGGTTGATGCAATCATTCAATGACTGTGTCCAAACTTGGCGTTTATTTTAGGTATTTAGAAATGTGATGTTTGATTAATAATTTCTTGTATAAACTCTACTACATGCTACTGACATACGCATCCTCTAAAATAAGGACGTTTCATAGTCTATTTCTGATCCGCGCATGCGGTAGGGTGTCTGATCGCGCACCCGATGTTGTGTGCTAAAATACTTCCATAGAGATTGCACGCATCCCTATGCAGTCTACGTGCATTGCGCGACCATGAAAATTGGTCAATGATTTTATGAAAAAAATTGAAATTCAAACCTTTGGGGCTTGTGATCCTGAAGGTAAAACTCAATAAATGAGGTGTCATATGAAAGAGCAGGTTTTTCTCCATATTCCCCAAAGGGGCGCACCCCCGAAATTCTAAAAATATCTTGGTCAAAACAGCGATTTAAATGTTGTTTGCATCCTAGCTCCAAAATTTGCCACTTTCCTGAGCTGCGCCCCCCGGGCTTATGTCCGGCTAGACGTAAGGAAAATATGTATGCACTTATTTTTTCGCTAGCCCCAAGAGATCACTCGCCCCAACAGTTTAAAAATACCCTTCCCACATTTTTGGAATCAGCTAATTAGGGAGGCGTGAGCTCCGCTCAGTCCAAACCATGGTTACATCGCGTAACATGTGCGCTTATAGTGAATGAAAGTATGGATGGCCGTTCCCACCATAAACCCCGGAAGTGAATACACGTTATAGTCAATGGCAATATCGCGGAGATGTCTCCGCGATATTGCCATTGACTATAACGTGCATTCACTTCCGGGTTTTTTGTGCGACGAACGCTAACCATACTAGTCAATGGCACGTGTCGCGGAGACAGCGTAGCTCAAGCTTGCAAGTCACGCATTGGCTTAGCAGCATGCGTACGATATGCATACGCTTGCATATCGCGCGATACAGCTGTTTGGCTAAATTTAGCAAAACAACATCACTCTGCGTGGACGTCTTTTTCGTCGATTTTGACCAAAATGATATGAATATACCAGCATTTTGGAGGGGCTGTATCTTTTGATTGAAACATCGGTGAAGCTTCAAATTTGAAATGTATTATTCTGATTACACTTTTTATTCAAATATCAAACAAAAATGGTGAAAAACGATCCCAAATTGAAAATTGAAAAATCGTTCAGACACCCTACATGCGGATCAGAAATAACCGGAGAAACCGATGAACACGTCCCACTGGAAACTGGAGCCCTGCACGGGATGAGCGCGTCTTTGCCTTGGTGCGGGCCTTTCCACTCTTTCCTCTGCCAGACATGCGCGTTGGCGATGCAAAAAAAAAAGGATTCTGCAAAGATTTTCTTGATGCATTTTACATGGACTTTGTACAGAGGAAGACGGACAATAAGCAGACGTTAAAATGGGGTTATTTTCTTATGCGGAACTCTTTTGTTTTTTTGCATTGCCAGCGGCAGCGCGCAGTTCGGTAACCCGAAACCATCAGATGATGCAGATCGCCAATGAAAAAAAAAGTCAGCACAAATTTGGATGATCCTTATTTTCAAGGACGCAACTTGTCAGCGTTTACAAGGATATCCTCGTTTATGCATTCTTGGACCATGCAGCGCCCCTACTGATATTGATGATATGATATGGAGATTGGAATTAGAATAGAAATAAAGGAAAATTTGTCCCCTCCCCCAATTAAGACCAAGAATACCAAGCTTCTTCTCCTTCAGTAATTCTACAGATTCTGCCCAAAGTAGAAAACAAGCCTGGAAAGAGATTAATCTAGTTACACACGTCTAATTCTTATGTTGTTGTTGTTGTTGTTTAGGTTTAAAAGCATTTATCATTCATGAGTGAATATTTACGCCTCTTCTGTTAGAATTTTTTTTCCTTTCAAATTAGATTTACTTTTTTAAATATATAGATTTGAATGAATAGGATTCTTAGAATTTAAACTTTTTGTTTGATGTTGAAGAGGTCAGTGGCTGGCGAGCAAAAGGCCTCTCAGCTATATTTGGACTTGCAAGGACCAACCTAGACACGGTACGTTGTGACAAGCACATTGATGTTTCATGGGCAGGAGCTCACGTTGCATTGCATTTCTAATTCAAACATTGTTGGGAATTGTTCATATTTGACAAACTTCCTTCATTTCTACTCCCTAGGCCCAAGAACCAGTGCTCAGAATGGAGACAGGACTAGGAACAGGTCTAGGCTATGGGATCAGGAAGTCTATTGTTCACCCAGGAAAGGGCAATCTTCCGCTCTATCCTGATGGTACTAAGGTGAGTCAGGTTTAACTTTGATCTTTCATCTGCCACATGGATGTTACAACAATGTTAAGCATATTTTGAGTATGGGAAATATAAAGTCTCATGTCTCATAAAGTCCCTTACTGGCACCAATGTCCTTTGACAAGACATTAATCTACAATGTGCCACTCTCCACCCAGGTGTTAGATTGAGACCTATTAGGATGCGAAAGTCCTTGTAGTTTGCTTAGCATTGTGAGCGTCTGTGAAAATGGTGCCAAGCAGGAATGCTCCCTAGGGAGTGGAGAATGTGCATTCATTGTGTGGGGGTAAGCCAGAATTTGAGGACCTGGGTGATAAAAATCTGTGAAGTGCTTGTAGACATTGCTGATGTATCATGCACCATATAAACCAGTTAAAGCAATCCCCCAGTATAGGTCAAAACAGCTGTGAATTTATCCTTATCATTCACAGTGGTCATCATTGTCATTTATTTGAATTATTATTCTTGTTGTTATAATTATGATTATAACAATTATTATTATTTTGTTGTTACTTTTGTGATTATAATTGCTGTCGCTGTTGTTGTTAGTAGTAGTTAGTAGTATCATCATCATCATTGTCATAGTTTGATTATTTTTTTTATTGTTATTATTTTATTATGACTATTATTATTATGTATAATATAATTATTTACTATAATTATTATTGTTATTATTACATTAATCATTACAATTATTGTGATTCTTGTGTGATACATTATTATTCATCTCCCACCTAGGTAACCTTTCATTACAAGTGCAGCAGGTGTGACGAGGACCAGACGGTGATAGAAGACACAAAGAAGGTGAAGAAACCCATGGAGCTCCTGACTGGCAAATCATTTAAGTTTGAACTGTGGGAGAATGCACTAAAGACCATGCGGCCAGAGGAGGTGTCCGACTTTGTATGCGAACCTCAGGTACAGTTTGAGAGAAATTCATCTTTCTGGCCCATATTCTACCCGCTTTGCCAATGGGAAATTTCTCACAACATTTAGTGATCTGAATAATAATTCTTATTCTTTGCCTGATTTTTCTTAAATTTGCACAAATATGTTTCTATATTTCCTGCTTCTACTTATGCCAACTTTCTATGAAAAGTTGATTTCCTGTGCTGGTAATTCTTTACGAGAAAGTGACATTAAACTTGTGTTATGATTTGTAGTAATGATAAGAACCACTTGAACAAAAATGTCAGATCCCTGTCTTTCAAGAAACATGAAGGATATAGCTCCCTGTTATTACCCCCAAGACTAAGTTATACATCAAGTGCATACATCTACAGACTTGTATGTACATGATCTGGTAAATAGTTATTATTCATAGAATAAACGTACCTTCAGGAACAGGGATATATTAAATTTGCTCCCTTATTACCATTGTTTTTACCGATAGTTCTTAGATAAGTGAGCAGTGTTAAAATCTTTCCTGAGCCCTGTAATACAAGGCCAAGCAATTTATTGTATAATTACTTTTTATGATTAACTACATTGATCACTACGTGCAATCAAATCTAAAAATCTAATCGGTGCCTGTTTGATCCCCCATGATCCCCTTTTTCTTATGTTAATTGAGAGCTGATTTGATGAGTTAACCACCTGTCAGTGACCTTGCAGGGAGGTCTAATCCCCTGGCCAAACTAGTACAGATGGGCTTTAAGTTAATGGTTCTTGTGTGTTATTTGTTCAGCACCTTGCGTCATACCCACCGGTCGAGGCCAAGCTGCGCGCTTTCCGCCACGGTAAGAAGATTGAGGAGGAGAAGCACTGCTGCGGCATGGCCCAGGTCCACCAATCCGGTCTAGGCTACGATGACCTGGACTCTCTCATGAATGGCCCAGTCCCGCTCCGGTTCACCATGGAGGTGGTCAGCGTGGAGGAGCCGGGTCAGCATCGGCTGGAAGCCTGGGCGATGAACGATGAGCAGAAGAAAGCCGTCCTACCCCAGCTCCGAGAGGAAGGCAAGTATCGAAGGGAAATCCACCTTAGTATTAAGTTTTTTTTAAATAGAAACGGACAGATGAGAAAGAGGTCTGTGAAAGTTTTTAGCAACATCCAGTTGAGAATAAGAAAGTTTTAATTTTCTACTTCTGTTAAAATCATCTGAACCAGGGTGGACTTCTCAATCAAAATTTTCCCATCACTTAATACTGATCTTGACTTTTTTCCCCAGAAAGTAACAGTTTAGTCATTAATGTTAGATATCACAGATTGTAACTTTGCTAAGTGCATACATTTAGTAATAAATAATTTGATGTTTGAGGTAATTGGTAATAGTTTTGTTAATGTTGTTCACATTATTATTATCATTATTATTATTATCAATTATTATTAGTAGTAGTGGTAGTGGTAATACATTAGAAGTAATAGTAATAGTAGTAGTAGTAGCCGTAGTAGTAGTTGTAGTAGTAGCCGTAGTAGTAGTAGTAGTAGTAGTAGTAGTAGTAGTAGTAGCCGTAGTAGCCGTAGTAGTAGTAATAATAATAGTAATAGTAGACTTAGTAGTAGTAGTATCATCATCATACTAGTTGTCATCATTATTATCATCATCATCATAATTCTTATCATTATTATCATTATCCTCATCCTTTTTTTCATTACAGGGATGCCAGTTTTCAGGCAACAGCCTGAATTCAGGCCCTGGCGATTTATTTTCAGGCCATAGTTAAGGCTTTTTTGTGTACAAAATAGCTCTTTTTAAGTGACTTTCAGGCCCTCTGATCAATTGTAACTGGCATCCTTGTCATTATTATCATCATTAACTATTACTATTACTATTATGAAAATTATTACAGGCAACCGCCTCTACAAGAAGGGCGACTATGAGAAGGCGGCAGAGAAGTACGCCGAGGCCCTGGGCTGTCTAGAGAACCTGCTGCTGCATGAGAAACCAAACAGTTCAGAGTGGTTGGATCTGGACGGCGATAAGATTCCATTCTTACTCAACTTTGCTCAGTGTAAGCTTCATATGAAGGAGTACTACCAGGTCATCGAGCACACAACAACCGTTCTGGAGAAGGAAGATGGTGAGATTTAAAGTGACTCGGTAACATTGCCTCAAAATCCTGGATTTTGCTCATGCTGCAATGATAATGATAAACCTTTAGGTCAGTCAGGAATCCCATGACTTTTACAAGCCGATCGCCTCTCTAATTATCACGATATTTATGATTGGAAATCGAAATTTCATTTTTTTGTTTTCTAACAGTTTTTTAACACTACAGTCTACTGGGAAAAATGAGTATGATAAAACCGGTCACTCAAAGATTTATACTTTTTGATGCACTTCAAGATCGCTTTGAAGCGCAATTTTTTTTGGACTTCAATATTACACCATATTACAGACACTGATAACACGTAGGGCCATGCATCTCAGATTTAACATTGTTAAACGATGCCTTTAACAGCATTTTTAGTATCCTTTTATTGCTAGAATAACTTGTCTGCTTCAGGGTAAAGATGTGTCGTGTATTTTTTGATGGTTCCATTTTTGAATATCCTTTCATCGGTAGAATAACACTTCCTGCATCTTTGGATTAGAATTACGTTGGTCATTGTTTATGGTTTCATTTTGTAATATCTTTCATTAGTTGAATAGCTCTTCCTACTTCTATTGGTGGGGATGCCGTTAATCCACTTTTTTGGATGATGGCACAGAAATCATGGTGTGCAAGTGTGTCAAAAACAGCATCTTCCACCAGCTAATATGGTCAATAGGTGGAGAAACAACAAACAATATTTGATGAATTTCTTTATTGAATCTTGCTCATCATATAGTTTTATGGACATTTCTAAGGGCATATGACCAGGTTTTGCATATTGCCAGATATTATGGATATGACTATCTAGATTTTAAAAAATCTGGAAGGAGCCATTCGACATAAGCATTCCAAATAAGTCCAGGGGGTAGTTTCACAAAGGCTAAGATTGACTTTAGTTGGACTTAACTGTGGCAGGCTGTTCATGCAACTGTTTGCACTCGCCATTTACTAGCATTGGTCTCTCAAGGGACGTACAAGTCAGTGTCACAAATCTTCAGAAATTACATTTTTTGATATTAAATTATTGAAGGAAAAAATATCTAAAGATCATAATGGTGAGAGCAAACAGTGGCATGAACAGCCTGCCATAGTCCAACTTAAAGTCGATCTTAGTCTTTGTGAAACACCCCCATATCTGCAATCTACTTTTGCAAACAAAAGTACGTTTGCAAGGGTCAAGTTTTTTCTCACTCACACCACAGAAATAATTGTCTATAGTATGTAAGTTTAGTATTCATTTTCTTGAAAGGTTTTCAATTTTTGTTGGTGATCTAGTATTTATTAGATTGTTCTTTTTTTCCTTTTTAAACCAACTTTCTATGAAGGTTTCATCCCCTTTTGATATTCATGTTCACTTTAAAATGCAGATAACGTGAAGGCACTCTACCGGAGAGCGAAGGCCCATGCTGCATGCTGGAACTTCCGAGAGGCTCGGCAAGACTTTGCTGAGGCCATGAAGTTGGACTCCAAGCTCACCGGAGCGATACGCAAGGAGCTGGCTGTCATTGAAGAAGCGGAGAAAGCGAAGGACGCGGAAGACAAGACTAAGATGCAGGGACTCTTCGCCAAATGAGGACGGAACTGAGGTGACGAATAAGCCTTATCATTGGACGTTATTGTTGTTTAACTCTTTACCACCTGTAAGTCGACTGATGGAACAAACACTTGACTGCCACATTCGACATTTGTCACACAGGCAGTGTACCTGTACACATATACCATACCTTGGAAGAGGGCTTAAACTTATACAAGAATCATTTGCCCCTGTGCAACCACGAAGGTGAATCACATTCTATTTGTAAGGCCCTGTGCAGCTGTTTAAGAACACAGAGAGTTGACTAAATTCATTGCAGTCGACTTCAACTCTCCTGGATGCCCCGAATTTCCTGAGTTGTGTGGCAATGTGGCAGTCTTAGTTTCAATTCAGAGCGAATAAGGAGTTAGAGTTCTATCCTGCTGTAACATTCTACAACAAGTTCTCATAGCGATCAACTTCAATAGTGAAATACAACAAGTTAGGTTTCCATGCTGAACATACTATATGGTGCCCTGCAGTGTTCTATAAAGGTTCCCTTACACAACCCAGCCCATTTTGTAAGGGAACCTTTTTAGAACACTGACTATCTGGCTGCTCGTGAATTCTTCACCATCATGAATTGTACCAAAAATGCTGGTATGTGACTGGGCCTTAAATGAAAACGATAGGAAAGAAAGTGAGAATGCACAAGCAAAAATCTGCTTTCTTTAAAAAAAAATCTTTAGTGACTGTACAGGATTTGCCAGTTATATGTTGGGCTATCCTGTTTCTGTTATGTGGCTACACTTTAAACACAATGTTCTCATCTATAGTGTTAGGTGCTGCCTCCTTATTATCGTTTTATTACAGGTTTTTCATCAGATTTCTGAGATTCTGAGAAATCATTTTTGATACTGACTCCTGAGAAAAATAAATGTGTACAAATTTAGCTACATGTATCGAGAAATCAATCATGTTTTCCCCAAGGATATTAGCGTGCTGACTAGGTTTCAAAACCTGGGAGTTTGTGATTTCAAGATCACTGCTCAAACCAGGTAGAATTTGAGCCTCTGCTTTTCATTTAGAATTGTTCAAAATGCTGTATGTGAGTATTGTTTGTACTTTTTAGTATTATAATGTTCATGCTGATGGAGAAAAATCTAGCAAAGTCTTGCCATAGTATAATACAACTGAGTTACACAACTGAGTTGTGATTTAAATATTGTTTATGACAGCTGTGTTCAAATGATGTCTTCATTCATGACCTGTGAATTACACATTGTATCATCCCACTCTCATATTTCATTTCTTGGACAAACATCTTTTACATGTACAAACTGGAGAAGTACAACTGGTACAACCTCAAACAGATATGGCTGAATTGAAGGACTATTTCTCTTTTCTTTTTGAGTGTGCACTAAAATAGTCAGGGAACATGCATATAGTTATATTAGGATATGATGTAGGATTAAGTCAAGAAGTGCCAAATTCATGAATTCTTTTCACATTGACTGGTATTGAGTGCATTTGGAGATTCCGAAGAGATGTTACTTCCATTTTTTTCTAGCGGAAAATTGATAAGATTTGTGTTGGTCAATGTACTATGATTTTTTTTCTTCACAATATTTAGGATGTTGCTCATCATCATGACAAATGACACAACTATAAAAAATCAAAACAAATGTAAAGCGCATAGAGAATTCTACAAATCATTTTGAACTCTTTAATAACTTTCCATTATTATTATTATTATTATTATTATTTATGATTGTTAATATTATCATCATCATCATCACCATTATCATCATTATCATTACTGTTGTTGTTGTGTTGTTATTATGATTAATATCTATCAAAAGTAAGAGCTACGTCTTTAGCCTGTATCAGGCAGGTACCTCGAAGTGCATGAGTCATTGAGCATGTCACAGCTCAGTAGAAGTTGCTGATACACCATGCACCATCTTTCCATTTCATATTATGGGGGAATAGTGGTGTTAGTAGCCTAAAAACTAATAGACCAACACATATCTGTTGTATATCTATGACCCCTTCATCTACTCATTCGGACCACAAATCATTATTTTTCCAATCATGTGCAACTCAGAAGCATTTATCTTTATTTGTCAGGTTTCTACATTTTAAAGTAATGTCCACCTCACCAATTTCAAATCATTTTCACAGAAGAAAAAAAGGGGGAAAATTTGACAAATCACAATGAATAGTAGAATGAAAGTAGAGCATGTGGAGGGATTTTATGAAAAGCATGAAAGGGCTTGCTTAAGAAGTTTTAAACTTAAATGCCTTTTTGCCACTTGAACCTAGTGATTATGTAGTATTGAGTAGCAGTTTACAGAACAGTCCTACAGGTTTATGGAATTTGTTCTGAAGCCTAACTTGAGTTTCTTGCACATTATTAGTGACAAAAGTTATCTCTGGCTTGCAAATGGACAGTAGTATACGAATAATACACAGCAGTGAGGGCGTAAGTAAGAATTACCCACACAAGGTACCTTTGGAATAGTCTTACACGCCCAAGGTGATAGACGAGCGTGTTTGGACTGTGCCGAAAGTACCGAGTGTGTTAATTTTATTGATGCCCGAACAAAATGATGTGTATATTTTGTTGAAATAAGATGTTGTTTTATTTTTTTTTAATAAAATGATGTTTTAAAACCTGATTTTACTAATGACCGGTCATTAGCAATATATTAGCAATATACTACTGTATATTCCTACATGTAGGTGCTAGAATGTAAACCCCTCAATTTTTTTTTTGAAACTCAAGTTTTATTGATTATATCTCTCATGTCATGGAATAATTATCGCTTTGCTTTATTGTATCATTTGAAAGCATGTTTATTCCTCTTCAAAATGATACCATATTTGTTATGATTTTGCGGCCATGGAATGGTCGAAATTGAAACAGCAGCCCTTCACTCTTGAAAGAAGGAAGAATGCGCAGCCGAACAAGAGCAGTGCCTTTTGCAACTTTATACTACTAAACATAACAGTGATTATGCCATGTCACAAGAGATCATATCAATCAAACTTGTGTTTCCAAATTTTTTTGAGGAGTTTAGAAAGAAAAACAAAACCATATAAACATGTATGTGTGCTATGTTTGTTCTTAAGTTTGCTTGAATGTATATAAATGACATGCAATATAATAATTATCATTCATTGTGAGAATGAATGAGGTATTCCACTTGTGAAATAGGCATGTAATTTTTCTGTGCTATTTGTCATACTCGGATTTTATGTATACTTTCTGTTATTTCTCAATGTTGTGAAATACGCCATATTCCCTGTGCTGGGATCTTTTTATAATGAATTGTAAAAATGTAAATTAGATGTACATCAGATGTATGTTTAGCCAAAGGTCTGATACAATAAAAAAAAAAAAGCTTAAATGATAAATGATTGTCTGACAATCCATTTTCTTTGTGGGATTTTCATAGGACTAGCAGAAGATCAACTAAAGCATTTGTGCATAAAGTAGATTGCAAGAAAGGTTTACAAGTCAACCCACATAGTTTAATTCTAGAGAGTTCTCTGTACAAATGACATAGATGAAAGAGATAGAGAGAGAGAGAGAGAGAGAGAGAGAGAGAGAGAGAATGGGAGAGAGAGAGAGGAGGGGAGAGAAGAGAGAGACCAGAGGAGGAAGGCAGACAGACAGACAGAGAGAGAGAGAGAGAGCAAGATAAAGAAGTGGGAAAATGTAAAATGTTTGTTTTACTTGAAACTCTGCAATGTACATTTTGCCTAATGTATATGTACTTTTTCCTATCATTTCAGAATATATATATATATATATACATGTATATATCCATTCCCAATTCGACCGTAGGAGAGGTCTTGAAAATTAGAAATATATTACACTGTAAAGAACACATTAGAGCAACCAGCTTTACTCTAATAATAAATGAGTCTGAGATTGTAGACTACCATTGCTCACTGACCCCCATCACTCGATACACATTGCACCATGAGATTGCAATCTTGAACTTGATGCCTCTATATAAATAGAGGTGAAGAACAGAGGCTCTTTCAGTAACCTCTTCGTTCTGCTTTGTCGTGGATCACTGTGAATGCTGTGACTAGCTATTGCACAGGACCTCACTACAAAGGTATATACATTTGTATAACATACATATATTGGCGTGATACAAAATATGTATGACCATGCCAGCATATACTGTACTCTATATTTCAGAGCAACTTTTATATGGTGTAAATGAAGTTTTAAAAAATCAATGGAAATGTAAATGAATTTTATTCTACAAAAATGCAAACGTGTATATTCAAACCTTGATTATATGCAAAAATAAGATTTAAGAATGAAGAAATGAAATGAAAAGTGAAATGAATTTTGAAAAAATAAGAGACCTATTATATTTGTATATACATGAACATGTATAAGCTACTTCAGCATTTTTTGTATCTTGAAATGATTTGGTAAATGTTATAAAATCTTCTTTTATTTAATTGTTCCCATGCATTCATTATATGCTTCAACTAGCTTCAAGAGATCTTTATGTTATACACAATACACATTGACATCAAGTGTAGTCGATCTGTAGTAAATTAGACAATTGAATAGACATTTAAATAGACAATTAAATTGATTACTTTATTGATTAATACATTGAATAAAAAATTGAATAGATAATTGAATTATGAATTATTTCAGTAGGCCTTCTCTGGAATTAATTAAATATCTTAATACACGTAATTGGTCAACTGTATGACTTTATTTCAACATTATGTACAAATCAAGAGATACATTTTTCTCTTCAATTTAATACCAGCATCTTAACAGGTCTCCATCTCTTCTCGACAGCTTAGAGGTATAAAACATGGCTGACAGTGAATCTCATGAATGCAGTAGTGAAGGTCATGTAACCGCCGGACGTCGAGCCGTAGAGCAGGAATGGGCGGCTGCCTGGTATGATGGTGACTGTAAGGACGCTAACAGGGAGGTCAGCAAGTAAGCAGGATCAGAATTTGTATTACTTGATGATGATGATGATGATGACGATGATGTCATGATGATGATCAATGACGACAATAATGATGATGATAAGGGGTTCTTGTGTGCTAACTGAATGTCTGGCGCGTTAACAATTTTAATACTCCTGGTTGTCCATTGTACCAAATTTATATAGCATCTCATTGCATCTCAGGGTACCCCCCCCCCCCCCCGACATTTGATTTTCAATTTATTGGTATTGCAAAATAACAAATGAAGATTTCACAACATTGAAGTGAAATGTTGAAATAGGAGAAAAGCATGAAAACTTCAATAATATATATATAGAGTTTTTTTCCTGGTATATTAATTAATTAATTAATTTTTTTTTTATTTCTCTTTGTTTGATTTGCCCCCCCCCCCTCCCCCTATTTAACACATTGGTGCACGTAGGTCGATGTCACTGATTGTGGGAAGACAGGGTAATCTGTTACTATACAAGTTGATGATATATAGGATAAGGGTACACTTTATATACCTTTGAATCATATCTTTACGATGCCAGTATATCACATTATTGGAGATGTAAGATTCATTTTATAATTTTGTTTGCAAACTGAATTAAGCAGATTAAGTATCAAGCCGTAATGATCATAGTCTCATACTATAATCATTTCTGATATATGCTGCTAGCTTTAGATCCTTATAAACTTTCATACAATGTACGTTGCTTTTAAAGAAACACTAATATAATTCTGATTTCCTTCTGCCTCTATATTCTCTTTATTTTAAAATGATTTAAGATGGCTGAAAGAACACAGCGACAAGTTGACTGGAGGGAAGGCCAACTGTCGAATCCTAGTGCCTATGTGTGGTGCTACTAGGGACCTTCAATGGTAGGTCATTTCATACAGTGGCACCTGTGCATTATTCCTTATGATGTGAATCACTATTCAACTTAACAAAAAATGTGGTTCTAGTTATAGAAAGTAGCTGTTTCTATACAGGTGAACTTTGTGAGCTAGAAGCTGATTAGGTTAGAAAATTTCACCTTTTAAACCAATCGATGTGGAAAACTGACTTAATGTTGTTGTCATCATGTAGGTTGATTGATGAAGGGCACGATGTGATTGGTGTAGAGGTGGTTGACAATGCCTTAATCTCTTCGTTGATATTCTTCTTTCAGGTCTTTTTTGAGGTAATTGTTCTTTCTTTCTTTCTTGCCGTCATGTAGGTTGATTGATGAAGGTCATGAAGTGATCGGTCTAGAGCTGGTTGATAAAGCACTACATCTCTTTCTTGATCGACACCGGATTAAATACACCACATCCCAAGTACCTAGCGTCAATGACGGGAAGTGCTACAAGGTAACTATTTAGTTATAAATACTGGCAGGTTTGATCTTCGGGAATCGGGAAGAAAATTACCATTTCAGAAAGGTTATATTGAAATATTCATTTGTCTTGCTCATGCAATACAAGAATCTGTGATTTAAAAATATAATGTTCTTACCTGCTTGAGTATGATGCAATATGTTAAAGTTCGTTAATCACTATATACCCCCCCCCCCCCCCCCCCAACTCCCCCTTCCAGCATAACGTATGTATTAATTCCAGAGGTCCATGATTTTTTTTTTTTTTTAAAGAAAGATACCTTTTGGAAATGTCATTATGATTTAATCTAATATGTGGATAATGTTTAATTTTTTTTGTTGAGAAATGGGTGTAGTGGTGTGATCAGCTGTAGTTCATCAACTCGATTTTCCAATTGATCTGCAGTAAACCAGATGTTTAAAAAAAACGATCATATGATCTCTAACTTTCCTTTGACTGCTTCTCTTTTACAGAGTAAAGACAAGAAGCTCGCTTTGTACAGATGTAACATCTTTGAGATGGATATGTGAGTATTGATAATTCAAAGAAATGTCCCATAATTTCTCCATTTCTGCAGGATGTTTTGATGTATGGCTCTAAAATAAAGAAGTAGATACATATGTCTATGTATGCTTTTGAATGAGGGAAAAGAAAACCATATAGATATGAGATTTGTGGCATAAAATCTGATAGGTTTCTCAGTTGTCCAACATATCAATCTTGCGTGAGCGTTATAGTCTTTGAGATCAATATTCGTTCTTGATAATATTTCATACCTATTTGTGATATACCTGCTTTACGGGGAGAATGATTATATTAATGTTGATACCTGTTTGATGTAGCACTTACATTTAAGTACTGTATACTGTTAAATGTATTCCTCCAGACATTAGCCTTTTGCATGTACCCACAATGCGCACAGTATTTCCAATTTCTTGGGGAGTACAAGTTTACCAGTTGGGCAAATCGGTCATGATGGCTTTCGGCATCCTACAGTGTACTTGTACTAGGACTCCATTTATCTCCTTTATCTTGATGTAAAGTAGCCTATAATCTAGGCGGAGTGCCGAGCTTTTTTCTTTGCTGCTAGACTAACCTTAAGCAGAACGTCTGATACGGCGAGACTACGAACCGTGAGCCGCGAAGCGGCTCACCGCCTTTAATCACTGGTCTAGCTAATCAATATTCATATATATTCAAAATGGCGGATCTATGAATCATTCAACAGCCCTACCAAATAAGGTACACCTATGTCACAGCACAAGGGGATTGCTTGGTATATTGCACTCTTTCCAAAACCAGTGGGTAATGCAACAAAAATATCCCTGCCGGCTTCAATAACGCTACGAATAGCGGATTCCTGCAGTTCTCTGAATTTTCCATTAGGAATGCCTAGTTTGTTGGCCGCATATGATAAACTTTCTCGCAGAAGATCGTCGTCGCATGAACTACCCGCCATCTTGGATGAAGAAAATGACGTATAATGTCACGTGATTTATAATATGCATATGCATAGACTCTTCTCCATACGTGTTTCTGATTGGTTGAGTTCATTTCGTATTCATGAGGTTTTTTCGTACGAAAAACTGCCACGGATTCATGGTCGATAATAAAAAAACAACGACTAAAGCTAGACCAGTGATTATAGGCGGTGAGCCGCTTCGCGACTCACGGTTCGTAGTCTCGCCGTATCAGACGTTCTGCTTAGGGTTAGTCTAGCAGCAAAGAAAAAAGCTCGGCACTCCGCCTAGATTATAGGCTAGATGTAAAGTGGTGAATCACATTTCACATTTTTGTTTTGTTTTTCCTCATTTTGTATACAGGAGTCTTATAGGGAAGGTTGATTGTGTATGGGACTGTGGTGCCATGACAGACATACCTCCTGCAGAGAGAAAAGAGTAAGTTTCATGAAGTCACAACAAAATGATTTATTCCTTTCATTTTTAGTATTCAATATTCCATGACAATTTTTCTTTCATTATAGACGGACTCAAATCAATTTAGAACACACGGTAGTGACTAAAGTATGGTAACCTTTTGTGATATAAATTTATAGAAATATGTTTGATTTTGTTAAAAAGTCCATGTTAATCACATTTGACAAACCTGTTCTGGGGAGATTAACAACATATTTTGACAAATTTTTATATGACAACCTATTAGAGTATCAATTTACAGATATTTTTTGAGAAGAAGTCGGTTAAAACCATAATCAGTCACTCTATACGAGACTGAAATGGGCAACTCAAGAGAAAATTTCATGAAGATATGGAATTCTATGAATGTTACGAGTACACTGGTGTTGATGTTTCAGATATGCAGAGATCCTTCTATCAGTACTCAAGCCTGGAGGAAGAATACTCGCTGAAACCTTCACATTTGGAGAGATAGAAGGTAGGAACACTTACATACAGCATGTAACATACAAATTGAATCCCAAGAAAGGCTTACGCAGAAGGTGCTTTATAAAGAGAATTTATTTATGTCTCTCCCTAAGGAGAGATTGACTGTCCGTCGTCAGGAGACGCGACGACGGAGAGTCAACCTGTTCGAAACGTCGAGCCACTATAATTCTCCGTAGAACTATAAGCTAAAAAAATAACCAACAATCTTTTTCAAGACTACCGGTACACCAAGAGTCCTTTTCAGGACTACACACCCTCAAGAAAGATTACCGAGAGTCCTGAAAACCTCAATCCTCCCTCTCTCTCACATGGTGCATATGCAAGCCTACTGTATAAAGAGGTTTCTGTATGTCTGTATGGATATCATAATCATTTGTAGACCTAAATATAGTTTACTCTAGGTCTATACTTTTTACCAATGAAGAATCTTAAGGACCTAAATGTACAGATTTTTTAAATACATGACTCACCAGTGTCGTCTTCTTCCTTCTATTATTACTCGAATAGCACAAATGTTCAAATAAAGAAGTATTTGAGGTCTTGAAATCAGTGAACGTCACTTATGAATAAAAAATTCCTTACAACAATCTCCTCAAGGGAACAAGAGGTCTGTGGGATAGGGGTAAATTTGTCTCTTACCCCACTTTTCTGTTCTCTGCAAGATGCAGAAAAATAGTAAAAATGTTCATAGGTCAATATCACAGAGCTGTAAAAGTTTCCCTCGTTAACACATGTGAACAGAAGCTGACGATGATCATAAACATGGTCATAATGAGACGGGAAGTTTTATCTGCAAGTATGGCGTCGATCACAGCAACGATCCCCCACAAGATAAATGCAACGAACACCATGATCACCCTGACCACAAACATGATCATGGCCATGACTGCAGTCACGACCACGGCCACGACCACAAGCATAGTGATCAACATCATGGTCATGAGCATCTTGGTGAGGGCCACGATGAAGACCCTCCGTGTCGTCCGGTGGAGGAAGAAGACTTCCAGAAGATGTATGGTATGTATTACAGCTGAACTTTAATTCTGTGAAGACAGAACTTTTTGAAGTTCTAAAGTGATCAGCTTTCCTTCTCCACTTTCAAGACTGGTCTATTTCTTTAAACAGTTTGCACAAAAAATAAAGCATATACGTATATATATAGACAGGAACTATGTCAAAAAAATTTCAAATTGCATTTTTAACTATTCAACTTGTTACCAATTTAAACATTTTAATTCTTACTTTTGTTTTACCAAAATGTACTAGCTCAATTTTTAGAAGCCTCATGTATGCATCTCCCTAATTCATTTCTGTTGTTAATTGTTACAGGAGAGCGTTGCAGTATTGAGAAGCTATGTGAGGAAGACAGCAAGGAAGCTGAGGAATGGGGGCCAAGCTGGTGGGCTAAGAACAGACTACATATTCTCCTCCTCAAGTAATCATTTTTATCACACACCTTGGAGTATGGTCAGCCTGTCAACATTGCAACCGATCTTGCATAATATTCAAAGTTTTAGCTCATGCACGTTCATCAATTTTATTCGAAATAATGTGCATCACATAAAACCATACCTCAAAAAAACTTACCTCGCAAAGCTTACATAATAATATCCAGACTTTAAACTCATATATACATTGATTATTTGTGACAAACTGTATTGAAAGACCACAAATTTTCACTAACTTTTTGAGTGATAGGGTCAAGCTTCACAAATATTTCAAGCTGCAATGTGAAATGAATTTATCAAAACATTGATATTCTGCAATGTGCAAAAGTTTTGTTGTTGTTGTTGCAAAATGACCACCATTAACAAAAGAGTCATGTCACTAAGTTTTCTGGGATTAGAGTACCATATAGTCTTTCAAAATTTGCCTACAAGCCGAATATCTTTTTTTTTCTTCTCTTGTACATGTAGGTATATGTAGATATAGTATATTGTATGTACCGGTATGAAGAATGCTTATTAAGGCATCTCGTGTTGTAAGATGTTAAAGGGAGTCACTCGTCAGTTTCCATGTGCAGAAGGCCATAATTTGCTGACACCAGACTTGGTGGATTAAAATCATTAAAGTGTGTACACGTACTAGGTCTGCACACAGCGAACCCGTAGGCCAATCAAGAAATACCCCTTGTCTCTCTGAGAGTCTTCGGGTGAGGGAAAAGTGAGATAATGACTTGACCATGTGGGGGAATGGGTGGAAAACGCAGTACATTACATAAGGCCTGCTGGTCATAAAACTGAAGGCTAATTCTGGTGATTGACAGCACCTCTTATTGGGTAAACACCCGAACGGTGTTGAATTCCCCATGACAGCTAACTACTATGTGTCTTTAAGAGTGACAGAGTAACATCTGACAACCAGTGATGCCTGAATAAGATTGACTTTTAAAACTGTTTGTGTTTATTGCTATGATTTTTGTTATCATGTAAGCACAACTGTATGTGAATAGCCATTCACCACTTTTTAAAATTTGTGACAGACATTATATTACCCAGGCAGTGAATATGAATATATGAATAAAAGTCTGGTGCAAAGGTACAATGAAATAATATAAATCATAGAAATGATATTTTTATTTGTCAATCAGCAATTATTGATTTATCATTATGACACAGGGATATTACTTCAGTATGTCTATGCTATCTGTTCTCACTGTTAGTTTTGTATAATTGTCTTTTTATCTGTAAATACTACTGTATGAGCTAAATGCTTAATCAGATTCTAATGAAATCTTATTAAATGGGATCAGTTATTCAGTTATTGGATGCAGGTACATGTACAAGAACTGTGGAGTGCTTCATTTAATTTCATTTCAACTTTATATAGGCATCCAAAGAATTTCAGGTTTGCTATGTATATAATGCCAATACACTCTGAACAGCACTTAATCTTTACATGATTGTGCAAAACTGTTTTAATCATGATTGTATTGTCCATGTACTTTTATTTTAAATCGACTGTCGTAATAATAGCAATTTTGTATGAGATATATGCTGGAAATCTAAGTGATTACACCTTTTTATGAAATCAATAAATTGTATCAAGAAAATTATGTGGCTGTGTTGTTCATTATTTCATTTGAGATAATAGTAAATCATTGCTCTAAGATATTCAAGGTCTTGCAACATGTTTAGTTTCTTTGGTTGGGCATCAATTCAAGGCCCATACCAAAACTTTGTGTTACCTTTAAATGACCATTATTGCAAGATAAGTTTACAAGTCAACCCACATAATTTTACTCTAGAGAGTTCTCAACATATGAAATTAGATAAAAGAGAGAGTGAGAAAGAGAGAGAAAGAGGGAGAGAGAGAAGGGGGGAACAAACAAGATAAATCATACCTTGCTTGCTGCCTTTGGTCTTATCAAAGCAGTGGGTGAATGCAATCTAATTATTTTCTGACATTTCAGAATATATCCATTCAAGAGGTCTTGAAAAGTAGAAATATACACTGTGAATGAGTCTGAGGTTGTAGACTACCATTGCTCACACTGACGTGACTCCCATTCACTCAATACAAGTACGGTAGCTCTGATTTGCACATTGCACCATGAGATTGCAATCTTGAACTTGATGCCTATATAAATAGAGGTGAAGAACGGAGGCTCTTTCAGTAATCTCTTCGCTTTGCTTTGTCGTGGATCACTGTGAATGCTGTGACTATAGCTATTGCACAGGACCTCTCTACAAAGGTATATACATTTGTATAACATACATATATTGGTGTGATATATAATATGTATGACCATGGCATGCTAGCATGAACTGTACTCTATATTTTCAGAGTAACATTTTTATGGTGTAAATGAAGAAAAAAAATCAAACTTTAAAATGCAAATGTGTATATTCAAACCTTGATTATGCAAAAAAAAAAGATTTATATGATCCACACATATAATCATGCCTTTTTAAGAATGAAGAAATGTAATGAAAGTGAAATGAATTTTGAAAATAATAAGAAACCTAGCTATTATATCAGTATATAAATGTACATGTATGAGCTGTTATATACCACTTCAGCTTTTTGTTGTATATTTGTAATGATACGTTATAAAATCTTGTTTTAACTGTTCCCATTCATTATATGCTTCAAGAGATTTTTATATTGTACACATAGACATTGTAGATCTGTTGTAAATCAGACAATTTGATATACATTCAAATAAACAATTTACAAGACAATTAATTACTTTATCAATTAATAAATTGATTAGAAAATGTAATAGGCAATAAAATGAAGTTGTTTCGAGAGGCCTACCCTGACTGGAATTAATTAAAATCTTAATTCATGTACGTATTTCGCCAACTGTATGATATATGTTATTGCAGCAATGTGCAAAAAACATAACAGATTTTTTCTCTTCAATTTTCCAGCATCTTTACAAGTCTCCATCTCTCGGCACAAAGAGGTACAAAACATGGCTGCTGAGACTGAGAGTGAATCATATGAATGCAGTAGTGAAGGCCATGTCACCGCCGGACGTCAAGCCGTAGAGAAGGAATGGGAGGCTGCCTGGTATGAAGGTGACTGTAAGGACGCTAACAGGGAGGTCAGCAAGTAAGCAAGATCAGAATTTACATGTACTGAAATAATAATAATAATAATGATGATAATGATGATGACGATGTTATGATGATAATGATGTTGATGATGATGATCATGAGTTCTTGTATAGTGCTTATTTATGGCCCACTGACAATTTTACTACTCGAACCTGATGGTTCATTATTGTACCAATTAGCATCTTGCATCTCATTGCTAGGGTACCCCCCCCCCCCCCCCCCAGACATTTGATTTACATTTGTTGGTATTGCAAAATAATAAATGAAGATTTCACAACATTGAAGTATATGTTGAAATATAGGGGAAGAGCAGAAAATATCAATAATATAGAGGTCTACCCTAATATATTTAGTTTAGTTTTGATTTTGTTTCTTTCTCTTTGTTTGATTTGCCCCCCCCCCCCCTCCCCCTATTTAACACATGGGTACATGTATGTTGATGTCACTGAGTGTTGGAAGACAATTAAGGTTTTCTGTTACTATACAAGTTGTTGAAAGCATAAGGGTATACTGTATACCCATTAAATCATATATCTGTATATTGCCAACTATATATCACATTATTGGAGTTTTGATTCATTTTATAATTTTGTTTGTAAACTGAATTAAGCAGAAAAAGTTGTGCACGCATCACACCGTAGTGATCATAGTCTCATTCTGAAATCATATCTGAAATATGCTGCTAGCTTTGAACCATATACATTCATACATCGTACATTGTTTCTAAATATACACTGATATTATGATTTCCTTTTGGCTCAATTCTTCATTTTTAAATGATTTCAGGTGGCTGAAAGAACACAGCGACAAGTTGACTGGAGGGAAGACTAACTGTCGGATCTTGGTGCCTTTGTGTGGTGCTACTAGGGACATGCAATGGTAGGTCATTTCATACAGAGGCACCTGTTCATTAAGACCACTCAATGGACATAAGAAAGGTTGACAGGTGGTCTTTATATACAGGTTGATCCTTATGTGAATCGCTATTCAAGGGAGACAAAATAATGTGGTCCGAGTGGTAGTAGTAGCTGTCTGTCGCAAAGCGACGATGACCGCCTTCACTTTAAATAACATAACCATGAAGGCTAACTGCTTGCAAAGGTGTGGCTATAAGTACTGGTAGCTTCGCAATCTGTATAAATATATATATATATAGAAGAGTATAGTCTTTCTATACAGGTGGTGGGTAATGAAGGTTTGACTGTATGCAGAACCAAGAAAGAGCAAACATTGACCCAGGTGTACTGGTAGACCAAGGGCGACCCCCCCCCCCCCCTCCCTCCCCTCGATCATCATTAGAATGACATACCCCTGATTTAAACATATTGTTATGCCTAGAACTAGAGCTGGTTGATAAAGCCTTTACATATCTTTCATGATATTCTTTCCTTTTTTGAGGTAATCGTTCATAATTCTTTCTTTCTTGTCGTCATGTAGGTTGATGGATGAAGGCCATGAAGTGATTGGTCTAGAGCTGGTTGATAAAGCTTTACATCTCTTTCTTGATAGACACCGGATTAATTACACCACATCTCAAGTTCCTAGCGTCAATGATGGGAAGTGCTACAAGGTAACTAAGTGTATACTTTACATCAGAATTAGGTATAGGTATACACTATAGTGTCAGATTTGATCTTTGGGAAGAAAATTACGACTTTGGAAGGGTTAGGTTATTCAAATATTCATTTGTCTTACTCAATACAAGAGCCGTAATTAAAAATGATCTGATATGACATTCTTACCTTCATGATGCAATATGTTAAAGCCAAAATTTGTTAATCACTAATTCCAGAGGTCTGATGGAAACTTCATTGCGCCTTAATATAATATGTGGATTATGTTTGAGCATTTTTTTGAGAATATGGAACAATGATGTGCTGTAGATCACCTACTCTTCCAATTGATCTTCTGTAAGCCAGATAAAAAAAAACAACAACAAATGATCTCTAATTTTCATTTTACTGCTTCTCTTTTACAGAGTAAAGACAAGAAGCTTGCTTTGTACAGATGTAACATCTTTGAGATGGATATGTGAGTATCAATAACTCATATGATGCATGTGCACCTTCTTCATTTCTGTTGGTTTTTGTCATTTACAGTTCTTAAAAGTAGAATTAAAAAAAAAAGTACATGTATGTGCCTATGTATTGTTTTAAATGGGAAAAGAAACAATGTGAAAAGAAAAGAAACAACCACCTGTACACTTGTAAGATTACTGTTATTCATATATGATACTTCCTTCAGGATTTCCTTATCAAATGTTTAAATTTTCATTGACAGGTTTAGTCATTAAGGTTGTTAAATACATGAGTATAGTATATTTTATACCTTTATGAAGCCTGCCATGAATATTTATGATACATAGAGGATATCAAAATGTTGATATATGTATACCGGTATAGCAACTAAACATGAACGCTCTGTACATTTACATACTGTACTTATCCAGTCATCAGCATTCCGTATATTCACAGTGTGCGCACCTTCTCCACTCCTTGGGGAGCATTCTTACCATAAGTTCTCTTTTAAGGCATGCATTTATGACAAATTGATCTTATTGGCTTTCAGCATCAAACTTCTACATTAAGGTATCATTGTCATGAAACCGTCATAAGCACAATTAAGTTCGCCAACATCATTGAAATGCGTACTTTTTGTACATATGACGCTTCATGAATCACTGCCCTGGACTCCATTTCTCTCTTCTATATTTAGTGACTTGCGAGTATTTTAAATGCACAATCTGTTTATTTTATATGTACAGGAGTCTGATAGGGAAGGTTGACTGTGTGTGGGACTGTGGTGCCATGACAGACATACCTCCAGCAGAGAGGAAAGAGTAAGTTTCATTAAGTCACAACAAATAATTAATTCCTGTCATTTTTAGAATTTAGATGTTTCAAAAAATTAATTCTTTCCTTAGGCAGAATCATATCAATTTAAAACAGTCGGCAGTGTAAGGAAAACATTTTGTGGTATAAATTAAAAGGAACATTATGAACGACTTTGTTAAAAAATCTTATTAAAACGTTAGACTAACCTCTTCCGGGCAGATTAAAACAAATCTTGACAAAGGCTTATATGCCAACCTAGTATTATCAATTTTACAGAAATTATTTGAGAAGAAGATTATTAAAATAATAATCAGTCACTCTATACAAGACTGAAATGGGCAAATTCAAGAGAAATTTCATAGAGATTAATATGGAATTTTATGAAAGTTGTGATTGATGTTTCAGCTATTCTGAGATCATTCTATCAGCGCTCAAGCCTGGAGGAAGAATACTCACTGAAACCCTCGCCTTTGGAGAGATAGAAGGTAGGAACACTTGATGATATGAAAATCAGTTTCAGGAATTCTCATGCAGAAGGTGCTTTATAAAGAATATCAGAGATTTATTTATGTCCCTCATGAAATAATCTATAGTTTTAGAAGCAACTGGTATTCATTTTTTCCCTTTTTCTTCTAAAGTTACACTGTAATTGGAAT